AGTCTTATAGTCATGGCAAATAAAAATATAACATAGCATGTGCTTGAGGAGTACAAAAGCCTTCACGGCTCACTCCATTAGTGCCTTCCCTTGATTCCTACTAGATCTTTTGCCTAAAAATTGTTAATATAAGGGGTGAGATCAAACGTCTCAGTAACTACTGAAATTCTAACCTATACAAGCAAATCATATATGATAAACCAAAAATCTGTTTATATGTGTGTATATAAATATATTAAAAATCACGGATTTGGTATATTCAATTCAATTTCATTTTTCTAATATATCCAAAAATAATGCAATATGCTGCCTCCCTTATATTACCGTCCACCCTTATACCGCTGACTGGAGTCATATGCTAACACATAGTCCGATAGGAACTAATCCATTTTACTGAATTATTCCAAGCTCACCGATACAAGAGATATATCCGGCCAAAGATATAAAGCTCAAACTCGGACTATGGCTCCCCTCCTTTGTGAATAGGGAGGTGTCACATGTCTCCCAGCTCCAATGAATTCCCGGCCAAAGGAAAACATGGAAGAAAGGGCCCTGACAAGTGCCATCCACTGTGCACCGAGTGATGGCATATCACGTGGTAATTTTATATCCATGCAATCTCTTCCTATCCTTAGCCCAACAATACATGTCAGATGCCAATAATGTTACATCATAAATACGTCCTCAAATATTTTAAAGATAAGATAGCAATAAAACTTATATACCATTTAATAGCAACTCATGACAATTCCTTAGCCATCAATATATTTAAATATTGATCATAATTAATAGCAATAAATCTTAACAAAATCAAATAACATATCAAAACATTTATTTGAAATCATAATACTACTTTTCAGTATGATATAAAAATTAGTAAATCCACAATATAATCATACACAATTCACATGTACAAGAAAGAATTTTCAGAGTTACCTGGTACTCTTTAACTTACAAATAATTACACAAAGTTTACTCCAAAATTCTCAAGGGTCTTCTAAAATTACACATAAATATTTATTAATATAAACTCAGAACTACTCCAAAACTACTCTAAAATTTTAAGACTACCCTTTAAACCAAAATTACATAAATATATTAACTCTCCCAGATCTAGCCATTTATAATAGATATAATATTATGTTGAAAAATATAATTTACATATAAGGCTATTTAAAGTTAACAACTTAAGTAAATATATTTTTATTACCCAAAATCTAAATATTTTATATTAAAATTCTCAATTATTTATTATAATCTCATTTAAAAATTTTTTTTTCCAAACCAAACAACTTCTTTAAATTATAAACAAACTGTAACTTTATCTAATTTCACAAAATTCTCAATTTACAATTTTTCAAGCCTTCAAAAATTATTTCAAAAATATATCCTTAACTCATTCAATATTTAAACCGATTAAAACCTCAATAATATATTAAATAACTCAAATAAATTATTTAACTCAAATTTAATCAGTAAAAATATTCTATATCTTTAAATAACAAATTTTTCAACTAAAATCTTAATTTAAAATTCTCAAAATAATCATTAAACAAAAATAAACCGATTAAAATTCCTTAATAATGTATCTTTAAATTTATACGATCATACATTATCAAAACTCAGTATTTGCTCTATATCCAAATAGTAAAATTTTCTCTAAACATTATAATGATACTAATAATATAGAGCTATAAATATATAAGAAATACTCATAAAGAAAATTTGATAAAAAGAAATATATTTGTGTACCTAAATAATCCTCAAATCTTCTCCTATCCTTCAGACAGCATGTACTTCCACACTCTTGATTTTTCTTTTTTCCTCTCGCTCTCTTTCTTTTCTCTCACTCTCTCTTTTTCTCCCACACTCTCTTGCTCTTGCTTGAAGGAAATAACCAGGAGATGATGATATATATAATACCCCCATGTTTTATTTTGCCACAGCTCCTCTTCCAAATTTCCACTTCTATCGTACTTTCTTCCTCTTTTTCTTCCATCCAATTTCTTCTTTCATTTATTATCTTCCATTTTTTTCCAACCCATTTAACACTCCCCCTCAACATTCCTCTTTCATTTAATACACCCCCCTCAAATTCTTCTTTGCCTCCAACTTTCCACCGATTCGGTGGAAAGTTATCTCTCTTTTTTTTTTTAAATAATAAAATATTATTATTATATATATTTTTTATTTACAATTTTTTTTCAGTATGTCACAAAATGAAATGAACCAATGGAAAAATGGGTATATTTGTCCTTTCAATTTTCTTTATATTTAATTAAATATAAATAATAAATTTAGTTCTATTATTCTTAATGTTGTACTAAACAAATTTATTGTAATTATTACATTACATTACAAATCATTACATATTTACATTCCATTGCATTCCCAATCCCTATTAATTCCATCACCCAAACGGGTAATAATAGTTGTTGGTAAAACAAAGCAACGCAATTGTTGATGAAAATGAGTGATTATTGTCAATATTTTTGTGAGAATGAAGCGCTTGTTGACAAAGACAATAACATACACCCATTTAGTTTTATTTATAAGTTATTTTCACCATATTTTATAGAAATCAAGTTAAATTTTATTAATTCTACTTTAAATTTTAATAACTTTTTAACTTTACTCCTATTTAATATGTACATTTTTTTAAAAAAATCTACACAATAATAAACGAAAAATAAAATAGTATACTTATTAAAATTTTAATGATATGACTTGTAAATAAAACATTCTCTTTCTCTTATAAATAAGAAAATCATAGGATTATTTTCATATCTACAAAACGTTTTATGATCATCAAAACATGGGATCTTCACATCCTTGTTTAGCTCTAAAGATTATGGAGATTATTATTTACATATAACTCAAGATTCAAAAATAATTATGCATAATTTAATTAGCCAGAAATATTTTTCCCCCTTGGGCAGCTGCAAATGAAACTCGAAGGGGGGAGGAATATATAAAATCAATATACTACAAATCGCTTAATTGCAGGGTGTGTTTGGGTGACATCCCAAACCATGGTTTGGGGAATAATCTACCCAAACACCCCCTCCAAAAACCAAAACCATGGTTTTGGGTCAAAACCATGGTTTTGACTCCAAAACCATGGTTTTGGAAAAAGCAAAATTTTTTTGCTTTTGGAGAAAGAAGGGAGAGTGTGAGGGCCTATATGATATGTATCTTGTTATTTTTTTTATAAATATATTTTTTTATAAATATATTTAATCTTATATTTTATAAATATATATACACATTAATTATTTATTAATTATATTATCTTATGTATTATTAATTATGTTGGTAAAAAACATATTATTAACAATTTTATTCCTTCAAATTAAAATATATCATAAAATCTATTTTTTCTGCAATTATCATATTAACTTATGTCTTTTTTTTAGTAATTTGTATATATAAAAAGTGCTTCTGATAACAACTATCCAAATACTCTCACTTCTCAGAATCACTTTTTTACAAAATCTATTCTTCACAGAATCTATTTTTCCCAGAATCTATTCTTCAGAATCACTTTTCTAAATCACGGTTTGGTTTCATCCAAACACACCCTTAGTCTCACACTACGTTTATCATAGAGATATTTACACCCAACAAATTCAGAAAATTTACGCAAAACTCAATATTCTCTGTCTCTATTTCTAACTTTTCTTTTAGAAAAAAATAATAAATAAAAAATACATCAAAACTGTGAAAGACTTTTTGGCGTAGGATGGTGATACAAGTTATTAATGACGAGTGTTATTTTCTTGATATTTATGTTATTGACTAAAAATTATATGTATTGTTTAGATTAAATTTCAAGGGAAAAAAAGGGAGAAAATCCAAAAAAAAATACCTCTTAGAATTCAAAATTTCAAGTCAGTCATGTTTACTACATTTTAATAGCAATTGACTATATTTAAAAAGCAAATGACAATACAATTTTTTGTAATAATTCATGATTTGGGATTTCAAAATTTAAAAATTATTTTTTTAAAATTTTCCAAAAGAAAAGAAAAGAAAGGAAGACTCAAGAGTGAGAAAATAAAAACATTCAAAGGAGCCGGCGTTTCAAAGCAGGTTTCAGTCAGGGGGCTTAGGCCACGGTTTTTGAAATAATGTTGAAGCGATGACACTAGCTAAGCCTCTTGCTATATTAAATCAATAAATTCCACAAATATCATTTTGTGTTCATATTCCAAAATCAAATTCGTCAAAATGCTCATACCATTACCAAGAAGCCCCAGTGGCGGCCAATAATATAATAATAATAGAAACCCCGCTTGCACTTGCAAGTCATCAACCATCCAAGTTCTATCCTAATAGCAACTACTTTAAAGTTTGGAAATTTGATAACTAATTTACATATGTTTGAAAAGGTAATTAGGTTAGATATTCTTTTTAATAATTATTCTTATAAATAAAAAGTCATCAATATGAGAAGCTGTTGGAAAAAAATTCTTCAATTTGAAAAGTAAAGGGAATTGAGATTTATATTTAAGATCAAGATAAACTCCTCAACCAACTTCTATTTAAGATAGGAAGTAATTTAACTATCTTAATTGTATCACCTCCGGTTCTTAATACTCTATAAGAAGTAATTGACTAATTTAAGTATATTAAAAAAATTAGTTAAATTTGTTATTTGTAATAAATATGTGTTATTTTTTTTAAAATATTCTTGCTAATCAAGTATATTGACTAAACTTACTATTATTACAAATACTACATTGAGAAAAAAATGTATAAATACGAGAGATACGGTTAGTTAAAGTCTTATATTTAAAATTAAAATAAAAGTCAAATAAACTCTTAATATTACGTACAGAAGGAGCTGGTATTTGAATTGAATTTTGTCAGTGCTTCTAATTAGTCCGCTAATTAGTCCGCCTCTAATTTTGTACCATCTTAGTAACTTCAAACACCGTCCCTATTTATACCCAATAGATTCGCTCCCCCTTCATCATTCATTCATTCATTCTTCTTCTTCTTCTGCTTCCCCTCCTCTCTCTAACTCTCATTCTCTCTCTTCTGCAACTAATTAAGAAAGACATGATGCTGCTAAACCTGCAACAGAAACGTTTCTTCTTGTTCTGGTTGAGCTTCATAATCTGGTCATGGTGGAGTCTGGACGGCGTCGTTTCAGACCCACAGACCAACTTTGTGAAGATAGGGTGCAGCCAATATAACGTCACAGATGTGAACGTGTTCCACCAGAACCTAAACGCGACGTTTCGAGAGCTGAAAACGCAGATCAGCAACCAAAGCAAACACTTCGCGACGGCGCAGGCGGTGAAAGGAAACAACCCGGCTTATGCCCTCTTTCAGTGCAGAAACTACCTCTCCATCTCCGACTGCCTCAAGTGCTTTGACTTCGCCGCCGATCACATCCGCAATTGCTCCACCGGCGTCACCGGTGCCCGCATCATCTACGAAGGCTGCTTCCTCAGGTATGCTCATTACTTTGACTTTTCTTTCTTTTTTTTTCTTTTTTTCAATGCTCATGGCCATAGATTTAACATTTTATAGTTATAATATACTATCTTCAATCCTAAATATAAAAATTAGTTGACTAATTTAAGTATATTAAGGAACTAAGTTAAATTAGTTATATGTAATAAATAAGTGTTATCTTTCCTAAAATATCTTTGCTAATCAAATTTATTGGTTAGAGGTACTATCATTAAAAGAATTATTTTAAAAATAAATAAATAAGTATGAGAGATAAAATAAATTGGGGTTCTATATTTAGGACCAAAATAAAAGTCAAATGAGATCTTATATTAACGACCACATGTAGTAGAAAAATAATGGAAATAAATTAATTTTATTTTTCAAACAAGGGTACATTATAGTCAATCATTGCGCATATATGTTTGTTTACTGGACTTAAGTAAGTTTTTATATTTGTTATATGTTTTTTTATCTTTAATAAAAATGCATAATGATGACGTATAAATATTTTATTTATATTATGAATAGCGGATCTTCCAAAGTAGGACCACCAGAACTTCCCAAATTAGTTTGAGCCACTTGGAGTCGCCATTTTTGACAATCAAAGATTGGAAGCATTAAATATTTTGAGAGTGTGCATCTGTTCCAATTTTGACAATCAAAGCATATTTTATTATTTCGACGCCCACTCTTTCTATATGTGTGTGTATCTCCATAATATACCAATAATTGATTCGATATTTGATAATTCTTTAAATTGTATCAATTGACTGAGAAGATCAAATTTAAAAACAAATAATAAGATATCACACCCTATTCTTAAATATAAGATCTATTTTATAATACAAATTATATTGTAAACTAAATCTCATATTAAGAACTGGAAATAGTATATCAAATCTCAATGTCTTCTTTTTAAGTGATAGAAATATATAGTTTGGTTCATATTATTAGAAGCCTTCCAGAAGGAATTTTTGGTCCATTTTATAAGAAGATTTGGTAGTTTCAATGAGCATTAAATATTTTTTTCCCATATATGCCCATATTTAATTAAGGATAATGAGAGATAAAAAAATTAATATGATATTGAAATCTAATGTGGTTAATAAGGATAATATTGAGACTTATTTCATTATAAATTAAATACTTTTAACTATTTTTATTAATAGGTGTGAATTACTTAAAAACATATTATATTATAGACCAAAAAGATTACGTTTTTAAGATACTACCTCCAGTTCTAATTAGAAGAGCTAGTTGACTAATTTGAAAAAATTAAGGAAGTAAGTTGAGTTAGTTATTTGTTCTAAATAGGTGTTGTCTTTCCTAAAATATCCTTGCTAATCAAGTGTATTAGCTAGAACTATTATTATTAGAAGGATTACTTTGGGAAAAAAATGTATAAATATAAGAGATAAAATAGATTGGAATCTTATACTTAGGATAAAATAAAAATCAAATAAGGTCTTATATTAAATACCGGAGTAGTATTTAATTATTATTAAACCATGAATAATTACATTGATCATGCAAAACAATTGGGTAGATACTGGTATAACATTTTTTATTTTCTAGATAATATGAAATCAAATTGTAAATGACAAATTTACCTTGACTCATAATCGTGCTTCGAACATGCATGAAATGCAGGTGTTAGATAGCATATTGGTATTGCCATTCTCTATTCTAAGTGATATATACTTGCAAGAAAATCATTATGCTATGTAGATTTAAAATATATGTTGCAAAATAGTATATTACCTTTTTGTCCTATTTTTCTTTTACTTTCGTCCCCCACGGTTCTTTCCCCTTTTTTAATGGATTATGCAATGCAAAGGGATTGATCTAATTTATGCAAGTGCCATAACTCTAACGTGCAAGCATCTGAGCCCTGTTTGGATGGCGACCAATAAGTACCATCATCATGATCTAATTAGGGCCTGCTTGGTTCAATAGAACACCCTTTTTGGATTTTGGCAATGCAATGTGATAACGAAGCAGAGAACAAAAAAGATTCTGTTTGTCGAGGTCAATCAGCCCCTTACAAATAATAGGGGGAGTAGTAAAAGAAAGAAAAGGAGCATCAAACCTATGTGCTTCTCTAGCTAGCCAATTGGCACACTCATGGACATAGGGAAAACGAGAAAGTTAAAATGTGTGAATTACGTAAAACTAACATGCATAGAGAGCATATAGGAGAACATTCTTTTTAAGATAACCTCAGAAAAGTTCAAAGCATATATGCTCTCAAAATTACAAGCAACTTGCGTGAATTCCATATCTTTTCAATGCATGGATTTTATGAAGCTACAAAGAATAACTTTTGGTACTCCCTTTCTTGTGTTTTAACTATGAAGGTACGAGAGCAGTGGCTTCTTTGACCAGAACACAGACGCTGGCAACAACATCGTCTGTGGGAATAAAGTAAGAAACTCCACTGAACTTGCTTCAACAGTGGAACAAGCGCTGACAAATCTGCAAATAGCAACACCAAGAATACCTGGTTATTATGCAGCCATTAAAACGCCAGTGCCTAATAGTAATGGCTCAAGCATTTATGCCATTGCTCAGTGTCTTGAGACTCTCACTCAAAGTGGTTGCCAGGATTGCTTGAATACTGGCTTAAAAAATTTCCAGATCTGTCTTCCCAACTCAAATGCTGAGACTTATGATGCTGGCTGTTTTATGAGATACTCCACCACAGCTTTCTTTGCTGATAATCAAACCACTAACATCAAGCACTTCCTAAAACAAGGTAAGCCTATAATTTACGAACTTTAAATCAAATAGATTGCATACTTTGTATTCTCTTGGGTTAAAAAGTGTGTGTGTGTGTTTGTCAGCATCACAGATAGGTTTAGAGCTATTTGCTATACTTCCATATGTTTATAATAAAAACTTGGAAATGGGGCCAACTTTCTTCTTGTGACTTGCAGGAGGTTCAAGCAAGAAGAAAGCCATTATTGGTGGAGTTGTTGGCGGTGCATCTTTCATTTTGATTCTCCTTGCATTATTTGCTTTATACAGACGATCAACATTGTCCAAAAGGATTCCTAGAGGTAAGATAGAAAGTCTTCATTATTCAAGTTGGAATGAAATATGTTGGTGCTTTGATTTTTACCTTCTTTACCAGAGGAGATGCTATGGTTTTAATACGAAAAGGATGAACCCCTTGCTGCTTTTCAGGTGACATTTTGGGAGCAACTGAGTTGAAAGGCCCTGTTAACTATAGGTATAAAGATCTAAAGTCTGCAACAAAAAATTTCAATAAAGAAAATAAACTAGGGGAAGGAGGTTTTGGTGATGTGTACAAGGTAAACTCTCTAAACATTCATTTTCAATATCGTTTCTCAACAGAAGCTTGTTTGTGTAGATTAAGTCCACCTAGATTTATTAATCATATTTATCACACATGATGCAAAGAGCTTCTGTGTTTCACTATATTATAGTAATATTACATGCCTACAGAGGGAGTTCTACGACCACAACCTCCCTCTTGGTGAGATTAGACTTTATAGTTGTTATATGTTTCATGCCTATGTTATTGTACTCTTTATAAGCAAGTGCTATAGTCTATAACTAATCTTTGTTGAATAGGGCACTCTGAAAAATGGAAAAGTAGTTGCTGTCAAGAAATTAGCTTTGGGCCAATCCAAACAGATGGAGAAAGATTTTGAGAGTGAAGTGAAGTTGATAAGTAATGTCCATCATCGGAATCTTGTTCGACTTCTGGGATGTTGCACTAAAGGCCAAGAGAGATTCCTTGTTTATGAGTACATGAAAAACAACAATGTTGGCCAATTCTTATTTGGTAAACAAATCAAAACTTCAATGAATCTACTTTATAGATTGAGAATCATCTTTAGTTCTTCTATTACCATTTTTTTTTTTAACTCTCTGAAGTGTTGGAAACAGGTAAAAATAAAGGTTCCCTCAATTGGAAGCAACGTTATGGTATAATTTTGGGCACAGCAAGAGGTTTGGCCTATCTGCATGAGGAATTTCACGTTTGTATTATTCATAGAGATATAAAAACCACCAACATTCTCTTGGATGATGATTTCCAACCTAAAATTGCTGATTTTGGACTAGCAAGGCTTTTGCCTAAGGACCAATCTCATCTCAACACAAAATTTGCAGGAACAATGTAAGTAAAAGCATATGCTAGTTATCATATTCTATTCACTTTTATTATTCACACACGGAAACAAGAGTTTATAAAAAATCATGTATTGATAAAATGCAACACTGTTATCAGACCTATAGATCCTTTTCATTGGTGTTTTGTTGTTTCTACAAAGCACAAACATTTCAAGAAAGACATTGTACCCATTTATGACACAAATTATGATCCGACACTTGAAGTTGCATATGAACATATTTTTATTCCATCAGTGTTCACATATGCTTCCCTTGTATCCCACTTTCATATACAGTGCAGTTTTGATCCATTATGCCATGTTTTTGTTAGGGGATACACAGCACCTGAATATGCAATGCATGGACAATTATCAGAGAAGGTTGATACTTACAGCTATGGTGTTGTACTTCTAGAAATCATAAGTGGAAGAAAGAGTGGTGAATTGAAGATTGATGATGCAAGCGAGCTTCTCCTTCAAAGAGTAAGAAAATTGCCTGAACTAATATAAAAAAAAGTTATTTTTACCGAAGAAACTCTATCTGCAGCTTTAGGAGTATAAATGATTTTCAGTAGGTAACATAACAAATGAACATTTTTTGAACTGCTCATCGTTGAAACAATGATATTTGTCTTCAGAACATTATTCCAGATGTTAGGGTGTTGGTAAAGTACACGATAGCAATCATCTAATAAACCTCAAGAAACTCTTATTTTCTTTGCTATATCACTCTGATCCTACTTGGCACTTGGCAGGCTTGGAAACTGTATGAGAGAGGGATGCACATAGAGTTTGTGGACAAAACCTTAGATCCAAATGAGTATGATGCAGAAGAAGTAAAGAAAATCATGGAGATTGGATTGCTTTGCACCCAAGCATCTCCTGGAGCTAGGCCAACAATGTCTGAAATTGTTGTTATGCTCAAAACCAAGGGCTTAATGGAGCAGAAGAAACCCACCATGCCTGTCTATGTTGATCCTAATTTCAGGGCTAGAACAAGCAATTCTACGTCTAATGGTACATCTTCTTCAAATGCTACAGTTTCCATTTCGAGTATATCAGGAAGATGATCGCATATTCAGGAACATCTCCATTCCGTTACTCAATCTTTGAGTACAATGAAACATCAATTCTACAAGTAGGAAAAGTTCGTGTGAAAGTGTGGCCACTCATTTTGGCCTATGGTATAAACTAAATTAGTGAATATATTGAAAGTCTCTGAATTGTGTGACAAAGCACTAGAGGCTGTTTGATATGCAAAAATGATATAGAATGAAGAAAGAAAGAAAAAGAAAAAGTGATTTTATAGTTTGGAAATGTCTTTGGTGCCCCTAATTAAAAAATAATAATGATAATGAAAAGAGATGGTTATTGCCTCTTTTTTTTTTTTTTTTTAATGCAGATATGAGACGGTTGTTGCTATGTAATGATAACAGGAATATACTAGATTTTGTATCTCTCATTTTTAGTGCAGTTGAAAAGAATGTTTTTCAATAGATTATACCAAACGCCCCCAATTGATAATCTTATCTATAAAAATAAGATAAATCTTCCACGCTGAGTTGATACATGAATATTAATCTTACAGAATGAGCCTTATCATACATGTAGTTTAAAATTGTGAAAGTTTATATTCGGCATATTGTCTTATGTTGTATTCAATATGTTACTCATGTCTGTGGGTCTTAGAATAATATCTATACTATCTAGAATTCGAACTTAGACATGTGTCTGACTCTTTTCTGCCACTTACTCTTCATTTCGTTATCACAGTTCATTGAACACTCAATTCACAAATAACTTCCCACGAGAAAAGCATTCTTACTCAGGTATTAGATTTCATGACAGCCTACGATGGATATAATCTTGATAGAATGTCACTGACAGCCAAAACTATGCTGTCGTAACTCTGCCAGACTTGTTGGGTGTCTTTGTCTCTTGCTGCATAATCTAGCTGCATTGTTCATGACATGTATATTAAAGTCAGTCAATGGCTACCTACAATCACTTCAGACAGCCAACTAGACAAAATCACCCGAGAATAAAACATAGAAGCTGAACAAGAAATGTCATATCTTTATCTGAGATATAAATGGAAGAATTTCCTACACAGAGCTTAACATAAAGGATTACCATAAAAACAACCGAGACAAAGGTACCCTCAAATATGGCCACACAAAATAAGAAGGAGGCTAATTTTCGGTTACACGAGTCATGACATTCAAATAAATCACCCTATAAATGCTTGATTATGTAAAAGCAGTCATTAGTCTGTACAGATCTTCAGGCAAAGTTAGTAATCCAACTTGATGGTAGTTTCTCAGTTTCCCAAAGGAAGCAAGCATCTACACCTCAATGAACATGCCTTCTCCTTGATCAACCAATAATGGTTAATTGAAAAGTCACTTCTGTTTGATTTGACTGCAAGAATTTAAGAGCTTGATAGACAAAATTTGCTATAATTCTGCCACCTAGCCTTTTTGCTTTTCCATGGAAGGATTTCTTATCCTTTTACTTTGCATTTTCTCTTGTTAGATAAAAATTTATTTCATCCATATATAAGAAGCTGGACACAATAAATCTGCCAAAGCCCACGAGATTTTTTGATAATTGAGGCAGCAGTATAAATTGAATTAAACTCGTTCAAATATGATTATAGAAATATTGTAGGACTAGGAAATGAATGGAAAAAGGTATAATAGCTGCAAATAAGATATTTAAAATGGAGAACATGCATCTTCCACTCCCATGAAGTATAAAGCAGGATATTGTTACCGTACTTACTCTACTGACATTATTAAAGAGACCAGAATACAGCTTCCTTAGCGGGGGCCTCTCACTTCCAGGCTTGCTATTGATTATAGTATATATATCCTTCTTCAGGAGTGCAGAACTCCTTCGCAATGCTTTTTGTGCTTCTTTCCATGACTCTGTCTCCAATAGATCTTTCACTCGTAATAAGGCTTGCGCATGATTTCTGACCCCACTTTCTGCTTCTTCAATAGTTTGATCAGGGGCCACAAATCCAAAATCAAATCCATTTGCAATTTTTGTGCTAAAATAACCCTCCCCTGCTAATACTACTGAAGTCACAGCTGCTAGAAGTCCCATTCTTCTACTAATCTCTAGTTTATAAACTTTTTGGCCCATCTTTTTGGACTGGAAAGAAGGCTTAGCACAGCATGTAAATGATGGAAACAACGGTGTTAAGTTAGATTGAAAAACGAATGATCTCAACTCCATTTTTAAGTAACCTCTGTTGAAAATATATGCCTTCCACTTCAAACAACCTTCTCCTACAAAAGACAATGTTTTTATTAGCATGAGACAATACCTTGTGATATTTTGCCACAAGGGGGCAGATGATGATCAAGATCAAATGGCAAAATTACAACAATTACTAGATGCGCACATAAGTAGGAATTGTGTGTTCACACTAACACAGCAGCTAGACAGCAGCAAGTTTAACCCAGAATTTGTATCCAATATTTGCCCCAAAAAAAAAAAAAAAAAAGCTAAATCATGTTGCAAGTATATGGGACAGAAAACAAGATTTAAAAGAAATTCTACATAACTGTATCTTTCTAGAAATGAAGATTAAATCACATTAAAGGCCATTAGAATAACAACAGAGAATTGAACAGATTTTTAACTACAAGTTAGAAATCATTTTAAACTCATGCAACATATCAACATGACAACTATAGAAGATTCGGACAGATTACTACTCAATCTGAGTCAAAAACCAAAACAAACTAAAGGTAAAACAACTGTGACAGAAAGAAGGTACAGACAGATTACAACTCAAAAATCAGGTCCAAACAAACCAAGTTCATGTTAAAAGCCACTATAACAGAAGCCGAAGTCTGGACAGGTTACCATTCAAAACTCAAGTCAAAAACAAAAAATAAACTCATGCCAAAATCATCAGAGTACTTGTCACGCCCAAAAATCCAGGTTTGACTAGCCTGACACAGGAGATACCCCAAATCCATTGAGCCTTAGGTCACATACGATCGTTCATATACCCCTCTATGAATTCAATGATATCATAAAAGAGCAATTGCAAATACAAATTTTTATAGATTGAGAAGTCTAACTTCCTAAAAAAACTTTGGCAGAGTTTCCAATATAAATTAGACCTCTCGAAAATTCTACATCAACACAGTCGTCTAATATATGACATGTAGAGCTCTGCCCCGCAATAATACAGCCTGCCCAAATAATAAAGGCGAGGATCCTACCTATAAGATACATGGAGCATATCTAGATATTAAATGTATACAATTATCAAGTTAAACATCTCTAATCAAACATTTAAACAGCCGCAAAATCATGCCCAATTATGCACAGCTAAACAAAGGTCAGAGACCCCAAAACGTCCAGGGACACCTCCATAACTGATGGTGATAATTTATGTCTAAATTAAGATTTACAAAATCCCAAATGAATAGCAAGTTCAAGGGAAACCATCTTCAGAATATAAATTATAGTGAGCAGAACTTATTCCCTGTTACTTCAAATGTCCCTATTAGCATCATCAAAGCTTTCACCAGAACAAAAGATCACTTCTATAGCGTTAAATCCATCGATCAGGAAAACATGGGCAGGCAATTTTGCGCGTGTCCGATATTCCAGACCGAAATCTGCCATTTCTTTTAAACAATAAAGTAAAGATTTTTCAAGCATATGTGTACGCAATTGGACACGACCATTTCTCAATTTATGCTAAATGACCCAATGAGCATTTTGCACTGGATATCCTTATTCGCAAGCCTCATATTAGAAGATAGCCATTGGCACTTAGTATTGGCATAAACTACATAAACTAGGTTCCGTAATGAATTCACTAAGTCTAATAGAGCTGCTCGGTGTTCATTCTGGTACTCCAATACAAAGCCCTCAGTTCAGAGTGTATAACTTACATTCGACAAACTTCCTTATCCTCAGTAACGAGAGGAAAATAATTGAATTATGCATGAGCATAAACAGAACATGTTCATAGTTAGGGAAAAAAAAATTTAATGTATTTATATGCAAAAACTTACCAGATGCCCAAGATTCATAGCCCAGAATTGATGATAAGAACAAAGACTGACAAGAAGAAAGGTTCACTGTTACACCAATTTAAGTACTTTAATCTTTGAAAAACGTAGCAACTGCAATTTTACCTTTTGAAACTGAAGCTGGTTCTTTAGGTGGATGAGGATAATGAGATGCGATAAGTGAGAGATAATTTAACGAAGAAACTTCAACAACGCATGAGAACTATACTGTGATTATCATTCTATCTTCTGGGATTCCAACCCGCAAAGCGTTTCGGTCTTCATTTAAACCGTTGGATTAACATTCTTTGATGTCGACCACCGTTGACTTTCCTTTCTGTTTCACAATGAGAACCCAAAGCATATGTGACAATCAAGTCAAACTAATGGATTAGAGATTATTCTTCATTTTCTATAACATTATTACAACATTTTTTGTAGGAATATAACAACAAATACTTACATCAAGAAGCTTACACGCCTTTTGTACTAATTATCAAAGCTAGTTAGGAAATCAGTTTTAATTATAAATGTATTGTTTTAATCCATTTCATTTCTTATATTTATTATTTTTTTTCAAATTAATTTATCTAATTGACAAACTTATATATAATTTAATGTTAAACAATGTATTTTTAGAAAAACTTGAGACATTTTTTAGAATTAAATAATTTATTTATTTTTCTTAATTTATTTTAATTAGTTATATAACTCTTATAGAGGAGAGAAAATAATTACAGAGTTAAAATCATTCTAAAAATAAACAATTTTAATTTTAATAAAAGGTAAATAAATGTTGCATCACTTACAAGATGACAGTCGTTTTTGGGTTGAACAATTTTTGTATAAATTTAATTCGTTCCAATTGTGGACAATTTTTTTTTGAATAAATTGCACGGGTAAAACTAATTTCCTTCATCAACTTTTGCCTCGTACTTTTACCTGCTTTTTCGCAGATGTCGGAGATGATGCAACGAATGGGCTGATGTGGCTTAAATGGGGAGCTGGAGGATATAATTTCAACTCTTTAAACTGTCAAAGTGGTAGCGTGTTGCCATGGATGCAGCAGGGGTTGGATCAGCTTTATTAGGAAATACTAGTTCCGATCCTTAACATAAAAGCTAGTTAACTAATTTGATTAGATTAAGAAAATTTATTAAGTTAGTTGTTTGTAATAAATATGCGTTATCTTTCTCAAAATACCCTTACTAATTAAGTGTCATTTGATGAAATATTTACCATGTGTAACTATTACAAAAAATATTTTAGAAAAAATAGATAAAAATGATAGACAAATTGGATTGGAGTCTTATATTAGAACCAAATTGAAAGTCAAACTAATTTTTATGTTAAGCATAGGACGTGGTAATTATAATCAGCATCTCCAAGCATCGTTAGCAGCTGGTTTGCAGAACCCAGGGGATCGATATCTACCAAGGCAACAAATCTACATTGTCAGCAGCCTTCTTCGCAACTTCAGCAGCAGCAAGCAATTCAGCAATCAGTCCCATCCAATATTCTGCAGCCACAAGCGCATGCATTGACAGAGAACCTTCTTCAGAAATCACATAGCATTAACAATCAGGAAGACCAAGCACACCAGCAGAGGAATGCTCATAAAGATCCGCTCTTGATTCAAAGTGATCAGTTCCATCAGAGGCTACGGCATTCTAATGTGCCTTCACCATCATATTCAAAACCAGACTTCTTAGATTCAAGCATGAAGTTCTCTTCATCAGTTTCCCCCATGCAAAATGTACTTGGTTCACTGTGTCCAGAAGGGAGTGGTAGTGATATTTTAAACCTATCCAGAACAAGTCAGTCCATGGTGACTGAACAAGTTCCCCAACAATCTTGGACATCGAAGCATCCACCTGTGCAGGTCAGTGCCTTTGGAAGTTTGATGTCACAAGCACGATATAGTGGAAAAGATTCTGCATCAGCACTTTACAATGCACTTCAGAAAACCAAAATCCTACTCTCTTTTGTAATATCGATTCATCTGGCCTTGTGCTCCCAACTACCGTCCCGGCTTACACACCTTCAGCAGTTGATACTGATACTTCAACCATGCAAATAGGGGATTCTGAATTTCAGGGTTATTCATATGCTTGCATGCAAGATTCATCAGAATTATTGCAAAGTTCTGGGCAGGTTGACTCATAAAATCAAACCCAGACATTTGTCAAGTGAAATTATTTTGATGCACCGAACATTATTGACAAATAATCTGCAAGATTCATCAGAACTCTTTCTTTTCACAGGTTTACAAATCAGGGTCAATTGGGCGCTCTCTTGACATTTCCCTGTTCAGCAGCAAGTACATGTTTCATTTGCATTTTTAGTTTGCTGCTTAAAATTGTTCGGCATATGGTGTATACTTGGTTCATTCTGTCTACTTTTTGTGGACTTCCTGCAAAAATTCTTGCAGATCATCTGTCAATAGTGTTTGGTGCATCAAAAAACCTTTCACCTGAAGATATCCAGAAAATGGGAGAGCAGTGGTGGGACTGGAATCTTCAGGTCCTAACTCTGGATAGAGGTTGAGGACAAGAGCAGAATCTCGATCTTGTTTCTGGACAATCTTCAATTGGCTTGTATGAGTATTAAAATAGTTCAAAAACGTACTCCCCATGGCCGAGAGATAATTCTACTTGTATATTACTCTGATTTTACCATTACATATTACCTTGCCTATGAGAATTATGTATGGTCTCACCAACACTTCCTTCAATGATTCTATGAGGATGGATTAGAAGAAGTTGAGATAATATACATGTGCCTATTTTCAACTTGTGTTGACTGCAGTGAAATGCATCAGTTTGAAACCGTTCTTGATAGTGCTCGAATGAGACATTCTATCAGAGCGATAAGTTCAGAGATGCGGGATAACATAAGATTAACATTAAAAAAAACTTTAATGATAAGAAGCTATTTCCTATGGACATGCAGGATCTAAAAGAAGTATACAGGTTGAGTTTTCAAATTATTGCATTTTGCCTAGGTAAGGTTAAGTATAGAAAAACTAGTATGGGCCAGGTTTCCTCAAGTATTCTTGCTTGATTTTTTTTTTTCTTTTTTTGGTGGGAGATTGACTGTGCCCTGTCCAAATCATGCAAAGAGAAACAAATTATGACATTTGAGAATGCAAAAGGTAGCTGCATCACCCTGGAGATGGGTTATTAAGAGTTTTAACATCGAAGCTATAAAGGTTCACTTGAGAAGCAAGTCAATTTAGGCAGCTATTTGCCTTTTGGAAAAAGTGGTTAATGGACACACTTCAATCGTACATGATAGGATGATTTATAACTCTTTATAGAGCTGATGAGCGGATGATTTTGGAAGTACTCATTTTGGATAAGATTGATTGTTTCAATTGAGTCATACTGAACATTGACCTGGGGACATTTTTCATCCTAACAAAAGCCTATGCTTTTCAAACATGCTTGAGAATTCAGCTCCAGTATTTAGAAGATATCCTAGATATTTGGTGAATCGCTTTATCCACTTTCCTTGTAAATTCCCAATAACGCCACCATAAGTACCATCCCTTTTTGAATCTGCTGGGAGAGTATCCATATTTAATACCTAATAGTACTTCAAACAAGATTGTTTCTAATAGGACGATACTTGTGTTTGATAAAAAAAAAAAAAACACGTGCACGTCTAGTCTTAAGCCATCTTGATTGAAGGGGATTCGCTTGAAGTGCCTATTCCTTTGCATGGTAGTCAACAAATTCATGTGTACTTCCAAATTGAGGTCAATGACTATGTTTTGAGCGCTGATGAAAGTAATATCTTGTTGAGGGAAGTTTTCGTCGGAATGCAGGCTTTTACACCCAGTTTTCCTACATGTTCCTACAAACTTGTGCAAACAACCTTTGCCAAATCACTTTACTTGATCTTGAGCTAGCCACTTCATTTTTTGCATCCCATAAGATCCAGTCCTGCAAAGGGGCAGCAAAGAAAAGCTAAAAGTTTGGAACATTTAACATATTCAAGCCAAACATGCATGCTGAGCTTTGGGGCAATCCCCAAGAATATGGAGAGAAGTGTCAAGGGAATCGCAACCAAAAGGACAACTTCTCTGGCAAATGCCAGCTCCTTCAACATTAATGAATTAGCTTGAAGTTGGTCCTAGGCAGCTTTCTAAAGAAAGGATTTGATTTTTTTCCCCCATAGGTTGGCCATTTCTAAATTTTGTACTTATAAGAAGATTTCAGAATTAGCATTAGTCTTCTGCTCTTCAATGGCCTTGTAGCCAGATTTGATATGGAAGTCTTTATCACTAGAAGGCTTCCAACAAAGAATGTCATCTTCCCCATTAGGGTCGGATGACTTAACCCAAGAAATTTGGTTAATCATATCAGTGGAAAGATAACGAATCATTCTGGTAATGTTCCATCTTCTCATTGAGGATCACAGATCAATGACTTTGGCATGGAGGATGTGGCATCCATATTAGAGCCATACAAAGGGGACAAATGAAGAAGCAAAATACTCTGTGAAGTTCAATCAACCTTTTATAATGCAAGGGTAGTTGATTGAAAATATACAATTACCCTTCAATGATATGAGTGTATCTACTCTCTCTCTTTTTTTTCTTTAAAGAATAAATACTCAATGACATTAATAAATCAACAAGAACCAAACAACAAGAGTCTTGAGTTAACATCCTTTATCAATGACAGCTTCTTGCCTAATAGGTAGAGATAATCAAGGGTACAATAGTTAGCCTCTATGCTGCATTAGACTTTTGCTAAGTACTACCTCGATCAAAATTATAAGACCTCATCTGTAAACTACAAACGAAATCTTATAATTAGGATCGGAGATGGTAATCAACAAATAAAAAGTTATCCCTAACTATGTGTAATCAAAACCTTTCAATCTCCATAAATAAATGATTTAGTGTCATGATTAATGTTTTGAAAGGGATGATCATTGATATAAACCCTAATAATTAAACTAATGGCTTCTAAACAATTGGATAAAAGTAAAACATTCATATACTCTCTAGACCAGTACAAATGGAGACCCTAAAGGATCCCTAATGGCTCTTCCACATACACTGCCTCCATTAGAAAGAATCCAACTACCCACTTCCAACTTTATATAGTCTCTACTCTCTGGTCCATTGAAATTGAAGTTGCTATTTGAAACTACCACATGCTTAATTTCATCAATTACTGCGGCTGTGATTGGATCCATGATTATATAATAATATTATAATTTTTTTTTCCAATCTCAAATATAAGAAGCAAACTATTAACCCACAAATATTTAAAAAACAGTTAAAATTAGTTAGTTTGCCCTACTAAATTTGTCAAAAATTATTTTTGATGAAAAACGCCCTCCATTAAATGTTTAAACATATCACCTCAGTTTAATGATAGATAATTAAAATTTTTAATTAATGATGGATAGAGGTGGAAAAATTTATTGGATGCCACAGACATAACCTATTTGTTTCTTATATTTTAGACTAAAACAGCTTTGACAAATTTTTCATGTACCCAAGACCAGGGAGGTCATATAATCCTAAGTATGTTCCGTCAAGCTTACTACAAAAAATGGGAAACTCTATGAAACAAGAACACCAAACGTCATGAGAAACAAAAGGCAGCCATCTCATAAATTTAAAGGAATTAAGTCGAAGAATAAAATATATTTAAATTTTATAAAAACTGTTTATTAAAAAAAACTCTAGCAAAAAAAAAAAAGAAATATGCTCCAGCAGAAAAATATATTTATCGGAATTATTATTTTACATTTTCAAGTTAAATAAAAATTACTGAATCTCAATTAATTTATAGGAATACGGAAAGTATTTTCTTTCGCAAGTCGATTTCCTTAAATTCCTTGTTATCTGATCATGATATATAAAACGAAATATTACCTCCAATTTTTAATAGAAGAATTAGTTTGTCTAATTTAGATAAATTAAAAAAATTTATTAAATTAATTATTTTTAATAAATAGAAACTATCTTTTTTTAAAAATACAAGTATATTACATGTAAGGTATAACATTTGATGAAAATGAATACTAAACGTGATCGGTGATCCTAAGGATTAATCTCGGAAGGCAGAACTCGTTCTCCATTCCTGCATGGAACGCCATGAACTGCATGCGAAGCGTTGTTCGGTGAATTAATCTTACTTTTCTCATTCGTCAATCAATAATATGTCACTTCGTTCTTCTCTTAGTCGCCATCTATTTTTCAGATTCCAAAGGAAATGAGATTCAAACACCATAATTTGCACAGAAAACACCACAATTTCCAGTTCTGTCTATTATGGGATCAAGTCAGAGAGCATTATTATCACTCTTGGATCAATGCCTCACATTGTCACACATCAAGCAAATCCAATCTCTTCTCACCGTTTCAGGCAATATATCTGATCCCTTCATAGCAAGTAAAGTGATTTCCACTTGTGCAATTTCAGACTTCGGCGATTTGTATCATTCTTACCGACTCTTCCGTTGTCTGCCGTGTCGGAATACTGTGATTTGGAACACCATGATCAGAGCTTTTGAAGAAAAGGGTGATCCCACCACTTCTCTGTCCCTGTACACTAGGATGCTCCAGAATGGCTTTTTGCCTAATAATTACACTTTCTCTTTCCTTTTAAGAGCTTGTACTAAGCTTTCTGCTTTATCCATGGGGTTTATGCTCCATGACCATGTCATCAAACTGGGTTGGGAATCCTATGATTTTGTGCAAAACGGGTTGATACATTTGTATGCATCTTGTAATATAATGGACCCAGCTAGGAAACTGTTTGATTCGAGCTTGACCAGGGATGTTATCACATGGACGGCTTTGATTAATGGGTATGCAAAGTTGGGAGAGGTGATGGTTGCGCGAGAACTGTTTGATGAAATGCCTCAGAAGAATTCAGTTTCTTGGAGTGCAATGATCAATGGGTATGCTCAATTGGGTTTTTTCAAAGAGGCTTTGGATCTTTTCAGTGAGATGCTTTCTTCTGGATGTAGACCTACACCTGCAGGGATTGTGAGTGCATTAACAGCTTGTGCTTCACTTGGTGCATTAGATCAGGGGAGATGGATACATGCATATGTGGATAGGAACAAAATGGAGTTGGATACGACATTGGGTACTGCTCTTATTGACATGTACGCCAAATGTGGCAGCATTGAAACTGCTCATAATGTTTTCAATAAAATGCCCATTAGAGATGTTTTTGCTTTCACTTCTCTGATTTCAGGCTTAGCCAACCATGATGAGAGTGCAAGTGCAGTTGAACTGTTTGAGAGAATGCAACGTGAAGGAGTTGCACCAAATGAAGTTACATTCATAAGTGTTTTGAGTGCATGCAGTAGAATGGGTTTGGTAGATCAAGGTTTGAGAATATTCAAAAGCATGAGAGAGGATTATGGGATTGAGCCATGGATTCAGCACTATGGATGTTTGGTGGACCTCTTGGGGAGAGCAGGAATGCTGGTAGAGGCCAAAAGTGTGGTGAGGAAGATGCCGATGGAGCCAGATTCATACGTTTTAGGCGCATTACTGAATGCTTGTAGAATGCATGGAGAAGTCGAATTAGCTAAAGGGATATTCGAGTTCCTGAATGAGCAGAATTTGGACCATGGTGGAGTCCATACTCTTCTTTCAAACTTGTTTGCTTCTGCAAAACAATGGGATGACGTAGCAAAAGTACGGACAGGAATGCAGGAAAAGGAGGTGAGAAAGGTCCCTGGAAGCAGCTCGATTGAAATAAATGGAGCAGTTTGTGAATTTGTATCTGGAAATTATTCTCATCACCTCACGAAAGATATCATGTTGGCTTTGCTTGAGATGGAGAATCATTTGAAGTCTGTGTGTTTAGAAGATAATGGTGATGATAAATAAACTGAAGAAGAGGTTCTTGCCCCTTGTTTGACATTAATTTTTCTTTATTAGGCTTCCCAACAAGGAAGGAATCATAAGAAAGAATCCACGGGGAGCAAGGGAGGAATTAATGCTTTCCCAACATTTGTTTGGCTCAACGCGGATCTAAAACGATAGCACCGAACGAATGTTGACGTATGAGATATGACCAAAGGAATCTCTCAAGTTAGATATCTGAATTGCTTGGGAACCAACAGAAATGAATGAATTATTAAGCATTTGAGCCTTGAAAATGCCGTAGCTTTGGATTTTATATTGCCTTCCATTTTCCAACCATATACGGGAGGCTCTGAGATCACTGGACGTTATGCCCTGAAGTATTGAGCATTGAATGACGAATTTTGGGACGAGGGATCCTTTCATGAAACGAAAGCTTCCAAATCCATTTGCGGGGAAGCAAAGCACACCACCAGATGAAGCATTCTCATCACAAATGAATTTATCGTGTGACGATTACATTGATGATGTAATTTTTTAGTTCCTTTGAATAAACCCTTTGCGGTTTATTTGCTTAGCAATGTTTCTTAGTCATGCCCAAAACAAAATTTGTGGTTTGATTAATTCAAGAACCTGAATGGATCAGATACTCGTGGCAAACCTTTTCCGATTTAATCCTCCTTGAAGTAATCTTTTCAGTTGGGCAAACGTTCTAAATGGTATCTCCATGTTTTCAAGTTCCCACTGGGAACGTGCACTTTTTGACGGATATTGAAACGCTATCTTAAGTAAGAATGCAAGAGCCAAGCATATGAAACCTCGAGACAAAAGCGAGGCGGAATACAAAACAGCAAAGAATTCAAACCTGATCTCTTGAACAACACAGTTGATATTAAAAAGGCAGAGTTCAAGCTTGGTTTATGAAGTTGGAGAAGCTACAGAATGCCATTAATCTCAAATTGGATTCTGATGAGCGTGCTTTAGCAAAGCGCATTGTAATAATGAGGGTAGTAAGTGTGTGTGTGTGTGTGTGTGTGTGTGTGTGTGTGTGTGTGTGTGTATAACGAAAAAAAAAGGAGGAAAATACACTACATTTCACTTCACGGAGCCTCTCGGTAGGATTTTCTTTCACACAAGGATAGCAGCCAAAATTCACAGCCAGCACCGCAGCAGAATTTAGTAGTGTGAGGCCGTGGGAAGATGAGTAGGAGAAGCACTAAAGCAAAATGACGTCGGGTACAAGTAGTAGTTTTGAATCTATTGCGGTTTCAAACACTTTAAGACACTGTCTGTTAATCAATGCCTCCCTATTTCCACTAAGCTCAATGAAATGAAATTATGCCTACTTCTGATGACTTGAAAGGGCAAAAAACAAACATGTGAAGTCCATATAGAAAGTTGAGGAAATGAACCGGATTCAATCAGGGGTCCACACAATTCACATTATCTTTATCTGCTCACAAAAAATTCTATTTACCAAGGAATTTAAGCTTCGAGGAGCTACTACAAACAAAGCAGAACACAGACTTTTCAAATCAAATTAAAACACGTGAAAAGTTTAGCTCACCAACAAAGAAACAGATAAACAAACGAACAGATAAAAAAAGGGGGAACATTGTCTCATTTGCCAGTGATTCTCACCAAGTGACATTCAAACAACTACAACCCCCCCCCAAAAAAAAAAAAACAAAAAATTAAAAATTAAAAAACTGTTTTTAGAGCTAACTTCGTTCAGAATCGCTCAGGCTAGCCTGGCTATGCCTTCAAAAAGGGAGAGTGATGGAGTAGGAAAGGGAAGAATGAAAAGGACCTAACCCACAAGACAAATGCCACCTTATCTGAGTTCTTTCATCATCATCAAGCTTATGCCAAGACGAGAAGGAAAACAGGAAAATGTTTGTAGAACTAAATCAGTAAGGTGAACCAGTGACAATGCTACGCATGGTAAGATATATGATGAAGAAAAGATGAAAGAACAAATCAAAGAAGGTCCATCCAAAATCAAGTAAAAGCCAAGCTCAAGTGCCTAATGCCAAGTCCCATGAATTCATGAAAGATGAAAGAGCAAATGTTCCTATTTTACAACGCCACCGTTAAATATTGAGTAATTTCAAGCTGCCTTAAAGCCTGGTCATCCCTCCCAACACTCACCTTCAACCTAAAAATATACGAGCACTAAGGGATGAGGTCAATCACATAGGCATGTCTGCAGGATTCTACAACTCACATCTAAGTTTATCATACATAGAATACGTATTATAGTCTAATGAATAATTGATGATTAATTGATTGTAGCAGATAATCTAACTTCCAAACGCATCTTCAATACCACAAAAATTGAGCCCGTAGGGAGCTAGGCCTTAAACAGAGAACAACACAGTTCTCAGGCGACAAATCATCTTGGTAACCAGAAACTGATTCTGTTACACTACCAGCAATTCTACTGCCTTAGATGATGATTTGCAAAGGATCAATTGTTGAAAGAAACTACTCGTAGCAGAAAAAGCAAACAAGGCAATTATAACACCCAACCGCTTTTACTTCTTACAATGCATATCGCATAATTCTATCATGTTGCAACTAGGAGAAATTTGATTTAGAAGCTCTTCATTACTATAGAACTTCACTATGGAAGCCACAAAATTCAATAACAACTTTAACTTCTATAGTGATGTAATTTAATAATAATCGCTATTCCACATGGTTTACATCAATTTAATATAAAGGTACAAAGCTAAATAATGTGGAAGAAACAAAAGCGGATAATCCTCCAGGAATCATGGATTAGCTAATCTAGCTACCAGTTTTATCGAGAAAAGTGATGGCTATAAAACTAGTGGGTCCTGAAACAAATCAGTTTGCTTATATAGAAGATAAAAGTTCAAAATCTATAGAACAAGTTAAAAGGTAAACTTTTGTTCTAAGCACATCATTGATTAGATGACATAATCGGAAGCTGCATATATACGATGATGGCGGAATGATAACCAATGTTGCGGCACAATGCTAAGAGAAAGAAGATAGTACAATGTAATGAATTGATGATATAGAATTCAGGAACCCACATATGATAAATCCAAACTTGAGATAATCATAATTCATAAGTAGTCGATATATAATATTATAGACTAATAGCATTCGAAAGGAAGAATCCCAACGAGAACTGATAGTAAAAATACAACAGACGAGATTTCAGTGCTTAGTACGTGAATCTTAGTACGTGAATCATAAGCAGAACAGTAATCATGTCACTAGCAGACACTAGAACAGACCATAAGTTTGCCCGTTTTCTATTAGATTATAGTATGCTTATTAACAATCCACAATAGGGTCGCAAGGACAATTCATTTGACCCACGCTCGAAACGTCGGTTACATGAGTAGCTACTCTCATACTGCTTCTTTGGCTGGTGCAGGCACGGACTCAGCTGCCGGAATCTTTACGTACCCCATTTTCTTGGGGCTTTCGACGCCATCATCATTATCATCCTCATCGACATAATCATCATAAGAACCAAACTCATAGCGGTTAGCAAACAGAGACCACACCAAATACATGGTAGCAGCGGTAAGGGCGCCACATCCGACGCCGAAGAGCAAAGCCACAACAACACTTAGAATGTCCTTGGTCCGATCACGGAGGGAGCTGAAATCATAGGAAGAAAACCCAAAGGGGACAGGCAAATTCGAAGCACGTGGCTCAATTTCCAGCTCCTTTTCAACGGGGCGGGCAGGAAGGCCGCGATCGAAGAAAATCTCAGCGCTAAATGAGGGTTTATCGTTGGTATTGGAAACGACGTAGACCGGGATGAAGGATCTGATGTGGGTGAAGGTAGTAAGGGTTTGAGTAGGGTTTGAATCGTCGGAAGGGCGGCGGAGGGAGAAGGAGTAGGAGGAGATGAAGAAAGTTCTGCACGGCCTGGCGGTAGCACAAATAAAAAGGGAGAAAAGCCATAAGGCGGCGGCGATCTGCAGCAGGAAACAACGGGACGGAGAGGCGGCCATGGCGGAGGAGAAGGAGGAGGATTGCCAACCGCAAAAATAGAGGGAGAAGGGTAGCCAAGTATGAACGGGGCAGGAAGCACACAAATATTTGTTGGAAGTTGGGTGGACTTTTTTAAAAAGGGCTGAAAGGTCAAGACGCGTGGACTGCAAGTTTCAACTTTTTTGGTTTTAGAGAAGAATTTTTATGTTATCGGATTACCAGATCATTGATAATTTTTATTTTCCAAATCTAAGGGATATTTTGTTCTTATATAAATATTATTTCTGATGTTTAATATAAGCATTCGTTTGATTTTTATTTTAGTTCTAGATATACAATCTAATTCATTGTGTTTCTTATACTTGTCCTTTTTTAAAAAAATAATTCTTATAATAACAGTAATTCTAGTTAATATATTTAATTAGTAAGAATATTTTAGAAAAGACAACACATATTTATTACAAATAATTAATCTAATTAATTTTTTAATATATTCAAATTAGTCAACTAATTTTTATATTAAATTTTATTATTAAAATAAAAAATTAAATAAGATTGAGTTAAAATGTATTTTTGCTTCTAAGGGGATCGCCGCTCTAAAGTAATATTGGCCTTCAATTGTAAAAATCATTTTAATATTACTTGTGGACTAATAAATCATAATGTTTTCGACTAGATCGCCGGTCTAAGGTGTGTTTAGATGAAACCAAACTGTGGTTTGAAAAAGTAATTCTGGAGAATAGATTTTGGGGAGAATAGATTCTGTGAAGAATAGATTTTGTAAAAAAGTGATTCTGAGAAGTGATAGTGTTTGGATAATTGTTATCAGAAGCACTTTTTATATATACAAATTACTAAAAAAAGATATAAGTTAATATGATAATTACAGAAAAAGTAGATTTTATGATATATTTTAATTTGAAGGAATAAAATTGTTAATAATATATTTTTTACCAACATAATTAATAATACATAAGATAATATAATTAATAAATAATTAATATGTATATATATATTTATAAAATATAAGATTAAATATGTTTATAAAAAAATATGTTTATAAAAAAAACAACAAGATACATATCCTATAGGCTCTCACACTCTTCCTTTTTTCTCCAAAAGCAAAAAAATTTTGCTTTTTCCAAAACCATGGTTTTGGTTTTTGGATAGTTATTACCAGAAGCACTTTTTATATGTAAAAATTACTAAAATGGGTATAAGTTAATATGATAATTATATAAGGGATAGATTTTATGATATATTTTGATTTAAAGAAATAAAATTGTTAATGAAAATTTTTTTACTAACATAATTAATAATATATAAGATAATATAATTAATATATAATTAATATGTGTATATATATTTATAAAACATAATATTAAATATGTTTATAGAAAAATGAATTTTTTTTTGCTAACAGAAAAATATTAATTTTCTTTAAAGATTTTAAACGTGAAATCCCATAACATTTTTCACAACTACTTTTTGTAATAACATACTACATGTATAATAACCTCTGATGTTTAATACAATTAATTAATTAATTGTCACCACATATATATATTCATAAAATATAAGAGTAAAAATATTTTTAGAGAAGATGAATTATTTTGTTGCAAATAGAAAATCATGTATTTTTCATGAAGATTATAAACATAAAATTGGATGATATTGTTTGATAAAATAGAATAAATACGTCTTAAAACAATTTATTAATTATTAATTATTAAAGTAAGTAATAATTAGCTTGAGAATATAAGGTATAATATTAATAAAAGAAATATAAATAAAGAAATGTCATAATAATTAAGATAATACATCGATACAAAGCATTTGTAATAGGTTTTGTTTTTAACTACATATTACAATCTATAATAAAAGGAAATAAATAAGACATAACTACTATCTTTGTATTGAATTAACAAGTTCGTCTCTTATGCTGTCACGAACTTGTTAATTCAATACAAAGGCTTGGTGGAGTCATTTCTTCAACCTTGGATTGTTTTCTCATGGGTGGTGATCTATACCGCTTTGAGTATGGTGTCTCAGCAGCATTTTTTATTGCAGCTCGACCAGGCACCTGCACACTTGACTCATCTGACCCACCTGAAGATGTCCTCCACCGTGCTAGATATCATCGTCAAAATGGATTTGGCGACTACAATGTCCTCGGAAACAACTGTGAAGACTTCGCAATTTACTGCAAAACAGGCCGTGTTCGCCAGAGTAGGCAGGCGCTGGCGGCATTTCCGGGGGCAGCTCCGGCTAGGGCATGTACTGTGTTAGCCGTCTTGCTTCTGATATAGGAGTACGCCGTGATGTAGCCAAAGTTCCTGTGGAAAGTCTTGCGAGCCATCAAGGCTGAATGAACCAGCCAACACAAGTGAGGTGAAAAGCTTGTAAACCCGTCTGGCTCGGATGAAGTAGCCAGGGCAAATGAGGTGAGCAAAATAAGACTAGATGCAGGTGCACAAAAACTGTATTGGATAATGCAAGTCTTAAAAGTGTAATGATGTGTCACCCGTTGGTGAGTATTTTATTTGAAATTTGAACGCTTTGTTAAAGATATTGTGTAGTTTTTATTTGTGAGTTTAAATATGTAAGATGTTTATCAACAAATGATCAAGTCATTTAAAAATAACGTTACCCTCCGCATTGTTGTTGACATCATTGCAATGCTCTGTTATATGTATATGAAGAATTAGAGGAACCATATCAGTCATTAGTCATGAAAGTGACCTCAAGATGTTCAAAGACCCGCATTCTCATGATCAAATGATGTAGAATGTCTGGTTTTTCGATCCACTCCTCTCGACATTTCTCTCTTAATGTTTTACCCACGACATCCTCTCCTCTTTTATCAGACTCTCCTCTCTCTCTCTCTCTCCCCCCCCCCTTACTCAACGTTTCACATTCACGCCAAAGAGCAAAGCCACAACAACATTTAGAATGTCCTTGGTCCGATCACGGAGGGAGCTGAAATCATAGGAAGAGAACCCAAACGGGACAGGCAAATTCGAAGCACGGGGCTCAATTTCCAGCTCCTTCTCGACGGGGCGGGCAGGAAGGCCGCGATCGAAGAAAATCTCAGCGCTGAATGAGAGTTTATCGTCGGTATTGGAAATGACGTAAACGGGGACGAAGGATCTGATGTGGGTGAAGGTAAGTAAGGGTTTGAGTAGGGCTTGAATCATCGGGAGGGCGGCTGGCGGAGAAGAAGTAGGAGCCGATGAAGAAAGTTCTGCACGGCCTGGCGGTAGCACAAATAGAAAGGGAGAAAAGCCATAAGGCGGCGGCGACCTGCAGCAGGAAACAACGCGACGGAGAGGCGGCCGTGACGGAGGAGGATTGCCAACCACAAAAATAGAGGGAAAAGGGTAGCCAAATATGGACGGGGCAGGGAAGGGGAAGCACACATATTTGTTGGAAGTTGGCTGGACTTTTTTAAAAGGAGCTGAAAGGTCAGGACGCTTGGACTTCCAAGTTTCAAATTTTTTAGTTTGACCAAAGTATATATTCGGAGTTTTTTAACTTTATACTCCTCCGGTCCTAATTATAAGACCCAATTGACTTATTTGAGGAGATTAAGGAAGTAAGTTAAGTTGGTTATTTATAATAAATAAGTGTTGTCATTCCTAAAATATCCTTGCTAATTAAGTATATTGGCTAAAACTATTATTATTAGAAGGATTATCTTGAAAAAAAAATACATAAATATAAGAGAGAAAATGAATTTGGTCTTATAATTAGGACCAAATAAAAAGTCAAATTGGGTCTTATAATAAGGACCGGAGGAGTATAATGTTTTAACTTGATCTTTTAACTTTAAAAGGCAAATATTTAGTTCTTTAATCCTAAACTCATTAAGTTTTAATGACATTTTTGTAACACTCATGAATGTTTTTAAAATTAAACTTAACATACTAACATTTGAGAATATGTTATCAACATGTAAGATCTTAGTGTCCTCATTTTTTTAAAAAATTTTAGGATTAAAGGACTAAATATATACTTTTTAAGGTTAAGAAGTTAAATTGAAATCTTATATAAAGTCAAAAGACTAAATGAATACTTTAGCCTTTTGGTTTTATTATTTTCCAAATCTAAGGGATATTTTGTTCTTATATAAATACTATCTTAATAAGAATTTATTTGATTTTTATTTTAGTTTTAAATATAAACCTCAGTTCATTTTGTTTCTTATATTTATTTATTTTTTTAAGATAGTCCTTATAATAATGATAATTCTAACCAATATATTTTATTAGTAAGGATATTTTAGAAAAGACAACACATATTTATTGTAAATAATTAAATCATTTTAATATTACTTGTGGACTAATAAATCATAATGTTTTCGACTAAGTTTGAGACCACTTTTAAAAGCTACTTTCATGCGAGACAGAACTTATATTTATCTCATATCATGCAAAATTACTTAAAATAAATTAAATTAATTAGCCCTAAATTAACTGAAATAATGGTATGACAATTATGCGAACGGTTGTTTCAAAATGTCACCAATATCTATGATCTTCTTGTGAAATCTCAATAATTTTGTAACAGATGTTATTACATGCTCCTCCAATGTAATTTTGTCAATCTTATTGAATATAAATATGTTTTATATTGATAAAACAGCAATAATAATTATGCCTCAAATTTTATCTTTTCTTCCTCAAAACACTGAACAAACATCATCTAAAATCCTATCTATTTACTGATGCATCAGACGTATTTATAATGATTTGCTTATTCTTGTGATCTTTTCTGCGTTTATTTGACATGCAATTTCCATTAATGAGATGCAAGTTATTGTAAATAGATTATATACCACCTCCGATCCTTAATATAAGATTTTTTTTACTTTTATTTTGATCCTAAATATAAGACTCTAATCTACTTTGTCTCTCATATTTATACATTTTTTTAAAGATAATCCTTCTAACAATAATAGTTCTAATCAACACACTTAATTAGTAAAGATATTTTAGAAAAGATAACACATGTTTATTACAAATAACTTAACTTAACTTCTTTCCTTAATTTCCTAAAATTAGTCAGCTAGCTCTCATAATTAGGACCGGAGGTAGTATATAATAGGAGTATTAATAAATATAGTGGAATTGGAATATTATTAACAGTATTAGTTTTTTGAAAAAAGTTAGTACAAAATCTTTGTTATCATTAAAAGCCAAAAATAAATTGGTTCACCTTGTTAATGTGAACTTAAAATGTAAAAAGACGATATTTTGTTGTCTAACAACCTCAATATAAGAAAAATCCAAGGTGGAGATTCCCTATCGTGAGATTTGGGTAAGTAACAAGGACAAAATACCACCGCAGCGTCTAAAAGAATATTTCTTTGCCTTCTGCACTTTGTGCATTAGGGGGGATTTTTCCTCTTACTCTCCGTTTTGTAATTTTGAAAAATACTCTATTTTTTCTTAAATAAAGTTGAAATTTCAACTTTGTCAAAAATTCGTGCCTATAAAATTAGATACCAAATTAGCATATAGGGGGAAAAAAAGAATTTTTACAAGCATAATTTTTGTATTTTGTAAATAGTATTTCAATATTTATTTTATAGAATAAAAATAAGTAATGAATTTATTTGAAAATTATTTTTCCATTGGATTTCCTTTTCATATTTTGTACTTTTTGCCAACATTTTTTTATTTTGACTTAAAAGCAAAAGGGGAAATTGCAAAAAAAGACCTTGGAATTGTAAAAACGCAGATAGGGACCCTTGACAACTTCACTTTGGATTTTGACAAGAATAATATGCCCTGAAGTTGTCAAAACCCAAAGTGAAATTGTCAAGGGTCCCTATCTGCGTTTTTGCAATTCCAAGGTCTTTTTTTGTAATTTTTCCAAAGCAAAAAGATGTCTGTTTTAGCTAATAAATGTTTTTATCATAAAAAATATTTTAGTCAAATCTTTCATATTCATTACATTAAATTATCTAGCCATATATAATTATGTATCTTATGTTTATGTTTATATGAATTTATAATTAAATAATAATAGTATTTCAGAAATAAGTACTGTGACGAGACAGCTTGATGAAATGGATATGACTAGCTTTACGTTGTACGTTGTTTTCTGAATTTCTAAGCAGAGTTATTCTCGTGGCTTATGCCTTATTTATTCTCCCAAGCCCAGGCCTAGAGACGAAGGAATGAACGAAAACATTTGCGTTTAATCCACTTGCTTCCTCGCTCGATTTCTCCTTTTCCGACAGCGAGAGTCATTAAATTCCCTTGCTTTCTTCAGCCGTATAAATCCGAGAGTTAAGTTGGCGAACAAACCCAGAGTGAGGGATCATGCAAGGGAAGAGGATCGATCGGGAAGAACTGAAGCCCGGTGACCACATTTACTCGTGGAGGGAGGCACACATTTATGCGCATCATGGTCATCCTTTTTCTCCTTATCCTCCTCGATTACTTTCTGTTTTCTGCTCTACTATTGGTCATTGATGCGTGTAATTTTAATCGGGTTACTGTGTCGGGTTCTTTCCGAATTCCAGTTTTGCTTTTTGTGTTTTTTATATGTGTTTCTTATGCAGGTTCTGGTTATACTTTGGTTCCTGGGTTTGTTTGATTGGCGGGAATAGCGGCTGTTCCGTTTAATTTCATCATAAATATTAGATTATTTAGATATCTCTGTTTATCGTTTAAACTTTGTTGGTCAAATTTGCAAGTTTGTGTTGTGTCGTTTAGGGATTATTATATGTTAAGTTCCCAGGTGACATCGATCTTTTGCATGTGTTAGTTATATAAAAGATTTTAAGTGGATGTGATTGCAGAAAGGAAAATGGAATAACTTATAAGTAGTTTATAACCTACTTTTCAATAGTGATTTACGTAACACGAGATAAGTATGTGAGAATAGTTTTGTCTTAATTTACGTAAAACATGTTTACAAAGAATTTTTACTATGATTCCAAACAGATATTGAATGAATGGAATGTAAAATTACTAAAATGGATATGAGTTTTAATAAATAATAAAATATTATTAAAAAATAATTTTACATAATATAATGAATTTAAATTAATTTAATATGAAGAAGTGAAATTTAATTAGTGAATAAAATTTTAAAAATTTAGCAAAATCATAAAAAAAATTTTAAATATAAAGTGAAACATGATTAAAAAATGAATTTACATAATATAATGAATTTAATACAAAGAAGTGAAATTTAATAAGTGAATTAAATTTTAAAATTTAGAGAAATCATACAAAATATTTTAAATATAAAACAAAACGTGATTAAAAAAAATGAATTGACATAATATAATAAATTTAAATTAATTTAATATGAAGAAGCAAAATTTTATGAATGAGTTAAATTTGAAAACATTAAATTCTTTTGACTATCCCTGTTTTGCTCACTCTAGGAATGAATTTAAATTGATCAGTAATATGTCATCATGAAGAATCTGTTTACTTGAGGTGGCAAGCGCTGGTCGAAAAAAACCAAGAAAGGAATATGAGGAAATAATATGGCAAAAGTAAGAGAAAAATATTAACAGGGCAATAAGCTCTAACACATCAATGGTCCAATAAACTCTTCAAAATTAAGATCCAACTTCCAAGTTCTGGGAAACGAACTGTACAATGAGCTTATGAAAGATGAGTTCAATTGGGTTTAAATCCTTCCAAACTGCACTCCATTTCTCAATCAGGCTTCTGCCCAAAATAAGTCACTTTGAGTCTAACGTAAGCCCTTTCAAACAGGCACAAAGGTGATATTGTTATGATGAGTGCCGTGGCTGTGATCCTGTTACATATTCTTCTTCCGAAAGTTAGAAGTTCTTAATTATCACAATTTCTAGATGTCCTTATTTGTCCATACTATGATCGAGCAACCTTCGAACTTTTCGCATGCTGTAGTTGTTTTTTGAAACCACATTTTAAAATTCTGCAAATCTTCTTTTGGAATGGCAAGGATCGTTTTTTTTCTTTCTTAATTATACTGAAATGGCTATTTTGCATTGGTTATTGCTTTTTGTACAACAGGAATATATGTTGGCGAGGGAATGGTGATCAACTTCACTACAGGAGGTCAAGAAAGTGGCCCAGGAACTTTCTGGGACCGTTTCTTTCGGGGTTCATCTTCCACTCGTTCTGCTGCCAATCCATGTCCAAAATGCGGCGGCCAATCAAGGCTTCGTGGAGTCATTTCTTCATGCTTGGATTGTTTTCTCATGGGTGGTGATCTATACCGCTTTGAGTATGGTGTCTCAGCAGCATTTTTTATGGCAGCTCGACCAGGAACCTGCACACTTGCCTCATCTGACCCACCTGAAGATGTCCTCCACCGTGCTAGATATCTTCTTCAAAATGGATTTGGCGTCTACAATGTCTTCAAAAACAACTGTGAAGACTTCGCAATTTACTGCAAAACATGCCTTGTTGTGAGCAAAAACATCGGTGTAGGCCGGAGTGGGCAGGCATCATCATACTTATTAGCTGCTACTTTTGCTGCTGGCGGTATCTTCGGTTATGGCATGTACTGTGTTAGCCGTCTTGCTTCTGATATTGGAGTACGCCGTGATGTAGTCAAAGTTCCTGTGGAAAGTCTTGCGAGCCATCAAGGCTGAATGAACCAGCCAACACAAGTGAGGTGAAAAGCTTGTAAACCCGTCTGGCTCGGATGAAGTAGCCAGGGCAAATGAGGTGAGCAAAATAAGACTAGATGCAGGTGCACAAAAACTGTATCGGATAATGCAAGTGTTAAAAGTGTAATGGTGTGTCGCCCGTTGGTGAGTATTTTATTTGAAATTTGAACGGTTTGTTAAAGATATTGTGTGGTTTTTATTTGTGAGTTTAAATATGTAAGATGTTTATCAACAAATGATCAAGTCATTTAAAAATAACATTACCCTCCGCATTGTCGTTGACATCATTGCAATGCTCTGTTATATGTATATGAAGAATTACAGGAACCATATCAGTCATTAGTCATGAAAGTGACCTTAAGATGTTCAACGACCCGCATTCTCATGATCATTTGATGTAGAATGTCTGGTTTTTCGATCCACTCCTCTCGACATTTCTCTCTCTTCTTAATGTTTTAGCCGCGACATCCTCTCCTCTTTTATCAGACTCTCCTCTCTCTCTCTTTCCCTTATTTAACGTTTCACATTCACGCCGAAGAGCAAAGCCACAATAACACTTAGAATGTCCTTGGTCCGACCACGGAGGGAGCTAAAATCATCGGAAGAGAACCCAAAGGGCATGGGCATATTCGAAGCACGGGGCTCAATTTCCAGCTCCTTCTCGACTGGGCGGGCAGGAAGGCCGCGATCGAAGAAAATCTCAGTGCTGAATGAGGGCTTATCGTCGGTATTGGAAACGACGTAGACGGGGATGAAGAATCTGATGTGGGTGGAGGGACTAAGGGTTTGAGTAGGGTTTGAGTAGGGTTTGAATCATCGAAAGGGCGGCGGAGGGAGAAGAAGTAGGAGGAGATGGAGAAAGTTCTGGACGACCTGGCGGTAGCACAAATAAAAACGGAGAAAAGCCATAAGGCGGCAGCGATGTGTAGCAGGAAACAGCACGACGGAGGGGCGACCATGACGGAGGAGGATTGCCGACCACAAGAATAGAGGGAGAAGGGTAGCCAAATATGGACGGGGCAGGGAAGCACACAAATATTTGTCGGAAGTTGGGTGGACTTTTTTAAAAAGAGCTAAAAGGTCAGGACGCTTGGACTTCCAGGTTTCAAATTTTTTAGTTTGACCAAAATATATATACGGAGTCTTTTAATTTTATATAATGTTTTAACTTGATTTTTTAACTGTAAAAGACAAATATTTAGTTCTTTAATTCTAAACTCGTTAGGTTTTAATAATATTTTTTTAACAATCATGAATTTTTTGAAAGTTAAACTTAATATGTTAATATTTGAGAATATGTTATCTACACGTAAGATCTTAGTGTCTTTATTTTTTAAAAAAAATTTTAAGATTGAAGGACTAAAAGTATACTTTTTAAGATTAAAGAATTAAATTAAAATCTTGTTCAAAGTCAAAAGACTAAATGTATATTTTAACCTTTTGGTTTTATTATTTTCCAAATCTAAGGGATATTTTGTTTTTATATAAATACTATCTTAATATAAGAATTTATTTGATTTTTATTTTAGTTTTAACTATAAAACATCAGTTCGTTTTGTTTTTTATATTTATTTATTTTTTAAGATATTTCTTATAATAATGGTAATTCTAGTCAATATATTTGATTAGTAAGAATATTTTAGAAAAGACAACACATATTTATCACAAATAATTAATTTAATTAATTTTTTTAATGTATTCAAATTAATCAACTAACTTTTATATTAAGATCCAGAGATAATATTATTATAAATAAGAAATAAAATAAGATTGAGTTAAAATGTACTTTTGCTTCTAAGGGGGTTGCCACTCTAATATTACTTGTGGGCTAACAAATCAAAATGTTTTCGACTATGTTTGAGGCCACTTTTAAAAGTTATTTTTATGCAAAACAGAACTTATATTTATCTCATATCATATAAAATTACTTAAAATAAATTAAATTTATTAACCCCAAATTAACTGAAATAATGGTATAACAATTATGCCAATGATTGTTTCAAAATGTCACCAATATCTATGATCTTCTTGTGAAATCTCGATGATTTTGTAACAAATGTTATTACATACTCCTCCAATGTAGTTTTGTCAATCTTATTGAACATAAATATACTTCTTCGATTCTAAATATAAGACCTTATAAATATAAGATCTTTTTTGTAATGTGTATAATAATCTTATATTTAAAACCGTAATAGTATTTTATATTAATAAAACAGCAATAATAATTATGCTTCAAATTTTATCTTTTCTTCTCAAAAAGCTGAACAAACATCCTCTAAAATCCCATCCTATTTACTAATGCATGGGACGTATTTATAATGATTTGCTTATTCTTGTGATTTTTTCCACATTTATTTGATATGCAATTTCCATTAATCAGATGCAAGTTACTGTAAATAGATTATATATATAATAGGAGTATTAATAAATATAGTGGAATTCGAATATTATTAATATTAGTCTTTTTGAAAAGTTAGTACAAAATCTGTCATCATTAACAGCCGAAAATAAATAGGTTTACCTTGTTAACTTAAAATGTAAAAAGACGTTATTTTGTTGTCTAACAACCTCAATGTAAGAAAAATCCAAGGCGGAGATTTTCTATCGTGAGTTTTGGGTAACAAAAACAAAATGCCACAGCAACGTTTAAAAGAATATTCCCTTGCCTTTTATACTTTGTGCATTAACAGAGATTTTTCCTCTTGCTCTCTGTTTTTTTTTTAATTTTCAGAAATACTCTAATTTTCCTAAATAAAGTTAAAATTTAAACTGTGTGAACAATTTGTGCCTATAAAATTAGATGCCAATTGACATATAGGGAAAATTTTTTTTACAAACATCATAATTCTTATATTTTATAATTAGTATTTCAATATTTATTTTGTAGCTTAAAAATAAGTAATTAATTTATTTGAAAATTATTTTGTCATTTGGTTCCCTTTGGAAAGATATCTTTTTTTCTGAAGTAAAAAAACATAAGAAATTTCTTATTTTGATTTTTTGGCCAAAATTTCTTACTTTGATTTAAAAGCAACAAGATGTCTTTTTTAACTAATAAATATTTTTATTGTGAAAAATATTGTAGTCAAATCCTTCACATTCATTACGCCAAGTCACCTGATCACACACGTGTCCTATATTCATGATGAAGTGAATATAACTAGCTTCAACTTTTTTTTTTTTTTTTTTGAATTTCTAAGCAGAGTTATTCTTGTGGCTTGTGCCTTATTTATTCTCCCAAGCCCAGGCTTAGGGACGAAGGAATGAACGAAAACATTTGCTTTTAATCCACTTGCTTCCTCGCTCGATTTCTCTTTCCCTCTCCTTTTCCGGCAGTGAGAGTCATTAAATTCCCTTGCTTTCTTCAGCCTTACAAATCCGAGAGTTAGGAGAGGGATCTGTTGTTGGTGAACAAACCCAGAGTGAGGGATCATGGGAGTGCTCTCGAACAGGATCGATCGGGAAGAACTGAAGCCTGGTGACCACATTTACTCGTGGAGGGAGGCACACATTTATGCGCATCATGGTCATCCTTTTTCTCCTTATCCTCCTCAATTACTTTCTGTTTTCTGCTTTCCTATTGGTCATTGATGTGTGTAATTTTAATCGGGTTACTCTGTGGTTCTTTCCGAGTTCCAGTTTTGCTTTTTGTGTTTTCTACAGGACAGTTTATTGGGGTTTCGCCCCCCTTTTATGGGATTCTTATGCAGGTTCTGGTTATGCTTTGGTTTCTGGGTTTGTTTGATTGGCGGGAATAGGGGCTGTTCCGTTTAATTTCATCATAAATATTAGATTCTTTAGATATCTCTGTTTATCGATTAAACTTTCTTGGTCAAATTTGCAAGTGTGCGTTGTGTCGTTTACGGATTATTATATGTTAAGTTCCTAGGTGATATCGATCTTTTGCATGTGTTATTTATATAAAAAATTTTAAGTGGATGTAACTACAAAAAGCAAAAAATTTGAGTGGATGGGAGGTTGTATTTTGTTGAAATTTCTTAAGCTCGTGATGTAAGAGCGCTGGTTTGATAATTTACGAGTGATAGGACTTGGTCCAGCAACATTGTGTGGGATTCGCCGCGAATTTTATTAGGATGCCTAATAAGAAAAACTAGCGCACAGTAAAATGGTAATTCATTTTACAAGCTCGCGAAGGGTTAGCAACAATGCTTGAGCATTTCAACGTCTAACGTTAGCTTTCGTGTGGTTACTGGTGTGAACTCTTACTGCCGTTTTGCAAAATTGATCCCAGCACAAGTAGGAGAGCCAATCTGAAATTTAGGCTACTTCTGTCAACCCCCAGTAAGAAACCCCAGTGGCTTAGGTTACTTCCATGGTAGCTGCAATATTCCTGAATCAAGTGACATTATTTGTATTATACACTATGAGGGACGTTTAGTGGTGGTGCAATGATGCTTATGCATTTGAAGCTGGAAGTTCCCAAATTTTGACGGCAGAGTTTTTCTTGTTTGACTGCAATATTTGAAGATTTTACACAGGCCCTGTGGATTTAAGGAATGAGAGCATATTGTCTCAATGTTCTCCTTGGAAGTTTGCATGTGCAAAGTAAATTAACGTTTTACCAAGAAAAAGGGAGACTTGAAAGTGATATTTTGATGATGAGTGTTGTGGCTGTGATCCTGTTGCATATTCTTCTTCCGAAAGTTAGAAGTTCTTAATCATCAGAATTACAGTTGACCAACGAGACTACAGGAACATATTGTTATAAAATATTATGGATAGATGTTCTGGTTTCTGGACTTCTGTCATATGGTTTAAGTTATGGTTCGTGTTGTTATTCACTTATGATTGAAGAATTGGGCTGTTGGGTTAGGAGATTTTTAAAAAAATATATTCATGGATATAGAATAATTATGTCCTTTGATGTTCTGCTTTTCTTAGTTATTAGCACAGGCCAAGCTTGTTTTTGACATCAAGAAAATGGGGGGGAAAAAAATTAATGCTGCCTATTTCAGACTATGTTTGAGATACGCAGTCTATATATATATATATATATATATATATATATGATCCATTGAGCAGCAATTCAGGAACTTCAGGTTGAATTCCTTGCATTGGGTATTTTTACTAAAGAACATATTAGCAGGAGTGGCAGAAATAGTATCCGCAGAATACAGCAATAGGTCCTAGATGTCCTTATTTATCCATACTATGACCGAGCAACCTTCGAACTTTTTGCATGCCATAGTTGTTTTTGAAACCGCATTTAAAATTCTGTAAATCTTCTTTTGGATTGGCAAGGATCGTTTTTTTCTTTCTTAACTATACTGAAATGGCTATTTTGCATTGGTTATTGCTTTTTGTATAAGATAACAGGAATATATGTTGGCGAGGAAATGGTGATCCACTTCACTAGAGGAGGTCAAGAAATTGGCACAGGAACTATCTTGGACCGTCTCATTTTGAGTTCATCTCCCACTCATTCTGCTGACAATCCATGTCCAAAATGCGGCGACCAATCAAGGCTTCATGGTGTCATTTCTTCATGCTTGGACTGTTTTCTCTTTGGTGGTCATCTATATCGCTTTGAGTATGGTGTCTCACCGGCATTTTTCATTGCCAAACCTCGAGGAGGCACATGCACACTTGCCTCATCTGACCCACCTGAAGATGTCCTCCACCGTGCTAGATATCTTCTTCAAAATGGATTTGGAGTCTACAATGTCTTCAAAAACAACTGTGAAGACTTTGCAATTTACTGCAAAACAGGCCTTCTTGTGAGCACAAACATTAGTGTAGGCCGGAGTGGGCAGGCAGCATCATATGTGGCTGCTGTTAGTGCAGTAGTTTCTTCACCACTCCGCTTCTTGACCACCAGTTTTAGTGGTTTGGCACTAGTTGGTTGTGGCATGTACTGTATCAGCCGTCTTGTTTCCGATATTGGAGTACGCCGTGATGTAGCCAAAGTTGCTGTGGAAAGGCTTATAGATCCGTCTAGCTTGAGTGAACCAGCCAGCACAAATGAGGTGAAAAAGCATATAAATCCGTCTGGCTCGAATGAACCAGCCAGGGCAAATGAGGTGAGCAAAAAAGACTAGATGCAGCTGCACAAAAACTGTATTGGATAATGGAAGTTTTAAAAGTGTAATGATGTGTCTCCCGTCGGCAAGTATCTTATTTGAGATTTGAATGATTTGTTAAAGATATTGTGTGGTTTTTATTTGTGAGTCTAAATATGTAAGATGTTTATCCCAAACGGTCAAGTCATTTGAAAATAACATTACCCTCAGCGTTGTTGTTGACATTATTGCAACGCTGTGTTTATATGCATATGAAGCATTATAGGAACCATATCAGTCATTATTTTTTATGCAAGTGACCTTAAGATTGTCCAAAAATCTGCATTCTCGTGATCATTGGATGTGGATTCTAATTTTCTGGGTGCTGAAAAGACAAGTCAGGTCACTGTAGCATATTTCCTTTTGGTAGAAACAAGGTATGGAACTAGGGATAACATGGTCAAGAGACTGAGATGCGTCAAGTATTCATCAGAAGCATCTACACGTGTACAACAAACACGCCTCATAAGTAAGGTTACCTTAACAGTGTTCTGACTTGAAGGATGGCTTGCAAATTACAATTGTGCCGTCATTCATAGGTTACGGACTTACGGTAGTCAACCTTTAGAAGGATCAGCCTACTCCCCAAACTTGAAATCGTTCACTCTGAACCTAAAAACAATTTACACTTTTAATCAGATGCCTCTCCTCTTTTATCAGACTCTCCTTTTTCTCTCCTTCCCTTGTTCAACGTTTCTCATTCTCGCCTGGAGATACTCTCCTCATCCTTCTCTCCATCGATGAAGAATAGAAAGGATGAAGCTTTATTATCAGTCTAAACCCAGATTGAATCCAATAAACATTTTATCAGAAACAGATTAATTTTATTCACCTGTTTCTAAATTTTATTCATTATATTCTCCTTTTATGGTCTCATTCTTATTCTCATTGCATCTTGATCTCCCGAATTTTCTCTTTCTTCAATCTTTATCATCACAGGATCTCAACATCCATCTTCTAAATTGTTTTCCCCTTGCTTTCTGACCATAATACCATTCTCGTGCCTCTTCTCCAATTTTTTTTTTTTTTTGCCTTCTGTCTTATCTTTTTCCTTCTTTTTTTTTGGCGATTAAGCTTTAAGGAAGATCGATCAAGGCTTTGGTGGAGGTTCACAGTATCATGCAGACAATTTAGAAATGTTGAAGAGGAGGAAGAAAAGAGGGTCGGATAAAAGTGGAAGCGAAACCCATTGTTTGAATGTAATGGGATATGGTCCGCAGACGTGAGTTTCAGTAAACAAAAAATTCAGTAAAATGTATAGGACCGCCTAAATATGTGATTTGGAGCGCTTATTATTATTGGGGTAATGGCGTATAGTTGTCAAAAAATAAAGGGATATAATGAATTGAACCAAGTTCGCTCATTCACCTTCTTAGGTTCACACTAGGAATAAGTAAAACCAAACTGTAACCGAAAACCGAACCGAATTTGATTTCGGTTTTTCGGTTCGGTTATTTCGGTTCAGTTATATATTCAATTTTTATTTCTTAACAATTCGGTTTTGGTATTTGATTTGGTTAGTAGGAAAAAAAATCTGTTATAACCGAAAAACCAAAATAAATATATTATATATTTATATTTAATAAATATTATTATAATAAATATTTATGTGGGTATATATAAACTCTTTAAATATATTTATATTCGGTTCGGTTCGGCGTTTAAAATTTGCTCTATTTAGTTAATCAATTATTTCGATTATCATAAAAAACCGAACCGAAAAACCAAATACTCATTCCTAGTTCACACAACTTCATAAATTCTTTCTGCTCGAAGAATTAAGGAATTACTTCACTCACACTCTGGTTTTTTAAATTACGTATTCTTCAGTTTCCTTCACTTTTTTTTAAAAAAAAATATTTCATGCTTATTACATTCCATTAATCAACAGTTCAACTCAAAGCTCAATCAAGCCTTCTTCCATTTTTTTGTTGGTTTTTTTTTTGGGGGCCCCCCGGGGGGGGGGAGATCAAGGAAATCATCATCATCATAAAAGGGAAGTTAGGTTCATTTACCAGCATTAAACCACTATATATAAGGCATAACTAATCATGCAAAGGGGCAAACGGAAGACACAAGTAGAATAGAGATGAGGTTTAAAACCCAGAAATGTTGCAATTCTTCTACTCGGTTTTGCTATTCCTGTGTGGTGAATGGAACTGTATACAATTTCGAAGGGTCATATGATTTGCTTACAAAATTAATGTAACATATGAATACGATAAGGACCCTGCACAGTCATAGGAGGGCATACTAAACATACGATTGATGCTAAGCTAACATCCAACATATTCAAACAAAAACTTCTCTTCTAGTAAGGCCAAAGATCAATTCCGCCAGGCTTCTTCACAAGTATTTGATTGTATTCAGGCCTTGATGTCTGCAATGGAAATAATCAATTATTAACATTTATTTGCAAAGGCAATTATCGGATAACAGGCAGAGAACAGGGAAATATGAAGATTGAGAACTAAAGATATCGTGGAGTAGGATATATGGATTGAACGACGTCATTATACTCTATTAATAATCAAATATTTGGAAATAATATTGATCAAATAGTCCAGTTCAGTAACTTATCAAGACAAAATGTGACATAAAGATCCAGATATTAAGTACAAATGATTAATTGAGCATCATCAACAAAACAAAGTAATGCAGAGACGGTGCTAAACCTTGCACAAGTTCATTACTCAGCTATGAAGAGGACGACAGTACTAAACCTGTTGCGGTCGTCTTATTGTCCTAGATAGGGATGGCAATTTCCCTTTTAGTGAGATCTCCGTTGGTATTGCCCCATATAGAGGTGATAGGAGAAATTTCTGCACCTTAGGACAAAGGCTAGGTAAATTACTCCCTATCTAAAACATGGGAAAGGGGACTAGGTTTGCAGAAATAAACTAGGAAGGCCTCTCTGCCTCTGCCCAGTCGCCATCAGCCCTAATCAGCAACCTTATCGTGCTTTGGAAATAATAAAAGTAGTATCTAACTACAGCTGAGGAATCTTAGTATGTACATTCCTGAACTTAAACTCCGGTCATTGTTTTCGGATTTCTGCGGCAGGGATTGTTAAAGTCAGCCAATAGTATTGGATATGACATTGTTCTATTAAAAATGGGAACCAATTGCTGATCCAACAGTGATGCTTCAAGTTATGAAAGAAACAAACTAACTACATCTAACTTGCATGATTCCACAAAATTGTAACTTTATAAAGGAATATCTTTGACAACCCCATCATTGTATCACATGTTACACATACATCCTAAAAGAGGGACTCCCATTAAATTTTTATGACACGTATGGTATCCCTCTCCCTCTCGATTGAAAAGAAACCACCCAAAAAAAAAAAACTGTATAGTATGTTCCTGTTATCTCTATTAAACAGAAAATGAACATTTTAATGATATTTTGACTTTTTATCCCAAAAAAAAATGTTAAAAAAAAAAAAGAAATATGCAGGGTCTCTTATGGCTTCATCATCACCCAACAATGTGTATCTTTTCATCACTCATTTTTTGCAACGGACGAGAGTCGTCTTCCACTTAGATCTTCCTTTTGTTTCTCTTTTCATACCTAATATTCTACATATCAAAGAACCCCGTAGTTATTCTTTCAGGTTTGAAACAAGTTATGTAATGTCAAACACTCAACCCATAGATACAATTCTCTGTAAACTAGAGAATAAATCATTAACCTTTTCCAAAGAACTTTCCACCAATTTACTACAAATAACTGAAACCTCAATAAAATGTTTCGTGTCCAATTAATTCCACCAAGACAAGGATGAATCTTTAACCTGAGAGACAATATAAATGGAATTTATTTATTCACAAGGAAGTTGTGTTAGTTACAAACAGCGAAATTGTGTGAAAATGAACAACACTGGCAACAGATCAGCAGTGCGTCATTGAGATATACACAGGATAATGTCTAGGTCTATCCGAATTATTCCTTAAGACTAAACATCAAGAATCAAATTGATCCAGAACAAGAAAGTATTCATATCCGTACACCAGAGAAATTGAAATTTACGTCTAAATCACAGAAAGGGAAAGGAAGGAGGAACTTACAATGTCTTTGAAGATAACATAAGCGATAACAAAGAAAAGAAAGAAGAGGATCTCAAACTCAGCGAATTTGACAAATGCAAAGACGGATTCTACCAGCCGAGTCAAAGCCGATGGATCGCCTGTTCCTGTTCGCCTGCTCATCGCCGATCGAAGAATTTCTCGTCCTTGATTCCGCACCGGAAGAGAGAAGGAAGCTTTGGGGTTAGGTGACACGTGACTCGGGAAAAAAATATGAATGGGGGACAAGCCGGTCAGAAACGCAGAATGATTTTGCATCCGTTTGGATCGGGGACTGAAAAAGTAATTTATTATTAATTTAACTTATAAAAAAATAAAATTAGATAAAAACTAAATTAAATAAATTGAATTGTATTTAAATTAGAGTTCAAAAAATTAGTTTATAAAAGTGAGATTGGCAAAGAGTTATTTGAATTATGATTTGAGTAAAAATAAGTTTGATTGTAAAATAGATATAAGTTTTAATAAATAATGAAAAATAATTAAAAAAACTGATTTCATGTGATACAATAAAATTAAAATAATTTAATATGAATAAGTCAAATTTAATGAGTGAATTAAATTTTAAAACTTTAAAAAAATCATTAAAAAATTTGCAAATATAAACCGGAACATGATAAAAAAATTAATTTACATAATAAAATAAATTTAAATTAATTTAATATGAAATAATGAAATTGAATGAGTAAATTAAATTTTAAAATATTAGAGAAACCATAAAAAAATTATTGCATTTTGTTGACGAGGCAAACTTTTGACAAAAACTCATCCATGCGGTATTTGAGTGAGATTGCTTACATGACAACAGGTGTTTTATTGATTTTTTTCCCAAACAAAAATTCATCACATAACATGGAGAAAAACTTTTCTAAAAGATCTTGACTTTAACTTCATCACAGAATTGTTGGCCAAATTAAAATACTTCATCACAGAACAAGGAGAAAAAATATGGTCGACCCCAAACCATGATTGACATCGTGAATCGCGAAGAGGAGTTTACTCTTAAGCTCGCAAGGCAAACACGACGGAGCTTCTGGCGAGGAGGAGACGGAGCTTCTGGCGAGGAGGAGACGGAGCTGGTCCAACGGCGGAGACGAGTCATGGGTTTAATGAGCTCTAGTCCAAAAAAAGAGAGTGAACAATAAGAAAATAATAGGAGGAGTGAGAGAAAAATGGGAAGAGAATAGTTCTGACAAGACAACAGTCCATAAGCTCTTTAAATAAGCTCCCCATCAAAGCTTATTTTCAAACGCTTGGTTGCTCAGCTTTTAGCTTTCAAGCTCAGCAGTCCATAACCTGTGCCAAACATGATCATATTTTTCAATCGGGCTTCTTTTCAAAATAAGCTGCTTATGACCCAAAATAAGCCCTCCCACACAAGCTCTTTCATTATTACTCCCTCCGTTCCTTATTATAAGAGACATTTGATACTTATAGCATGTTCCTATATAGAAGAGACACTTAAAAGTTGTCTCTACTTTTTGTGTTGATTTTCTATTTTACCCATATTTATTATCTCCAACTCACACTCTCTCTTCCTCCCACTTCTCTTTCTTTTAATAATTTAATTGTTCTCTCTCATGCTCTCTCTCCTTATTAATGAGGGTATTTTTGGAAAAAAAATTATACTTTTTACACATTAATTGTTCTTAACTAATTTTAACTATTTTTTTGATCAATGTACTTCGGTTATTTGTCTCTTATAATAAGGAACGGAGGGAGTACTTCCCATAGTTTAAAGTATAAGACGAATTTTGTTGGGGAGGAGTTTGACTCTTTTTTTTTAAAGATACTCCTTTAAGTATAAGACTTTTTTATAGTGTAATTTTACACTATAAAAAGAATCTTATATTTAGAATCGGAAAAAATAATATTTATAAGTCACTTTATTAAATTTTTAACATAAATATATTATTTTGTTTTTTATTAGCTAAAATATATACAGCACCCCTCAACTTTGGTTACACATGTGACCTCCTTTAACTTTAAAAGTTTAAATGGACACCCTAAACTTTCTAACTTTATTTATCAACCCCCTAATCGTTAAATAGCCGTCAAACTTCACTGAAAATGCCAGCTCACGCCTCATACTAATGAAGAACAAACCAGCAAATGACATGAAATTTTGAGTTTAATTATTCTCATCCTCACATTTCTAGTGGAGGGTGATTTTGTCACATTTGTGCCAATTCCCAAGTTTCTTTTTCTTTTTTTTCCCCCATGTTTTATCTTCCCATCACCTTCTTCGGCTTTTTGTGAGGGAGCTTATCTTCGTCCCTCTTTCTATCATCTCTACTTTTATGTCTGCAAAAAACAAAAATTTCAACTCTCACAGAGAAGGAGCTTCAGTTTAATTAATGCAACTATAAAAAAGTTTCACAAGCAAAAAAGTTGCCAGATTTGGAGGAAGAGGATGACTGAGATGAGATACATAGGGATGGATTTTTCAATGTAAATAAGGGTTAAAAGCTGGACAAGCACCGCAAATACAGAGGACCTGCGAGAGACAGGGAGAGCGAGACGCTGTCAAGGAGGATGGGAACCGGGGATTGCCATAGAATCACAAAATTACCCTTGATCCTATCTAAGAGTTTAATGTTAATAAAATATGAGAAATTACATGTCATTTTCTAGGTAGTCTTAATTAATTAATCTGATGTGGAATATATTCTGTTAGATTTAACTGTGATGTTAGGAGTAAGGGGCTAATGGTCAAGATATGAAAAGTGAGGGTGTGATTTTTAGACTTTTAAATATGAGGGAGATTATGTGAAATTGAATTAATGCTGAGAGGGTTGTGTTCTTTGGCTTTGTTTATTTATTATAATATGGATAGTTGTTTTTTTACAAAATATATATATTAAATATGGGTAAAGTTATAAAGTTGTTATATTTTAATAGAGAGTTAATGCAATTTAAGGTTTTTCTTAATCTATGTGAAAATTACAAAAAATATCACTATACAATTAACTATTTGCATTATAATAAATAAAAGGCAAAATAATATATTGATACCAAAAATTAAATGATACTCCCTCCTCTTATTAATATAAGAGCTTGTTTGACTTTTATTTTTATTCCAAATATAACACCCAAATCTACTTTGTTTCTCATATTTATTCTTTTTTTAAGATACTTGTAATAATGGTAGTTTTAACTAATACACTTGATTAGCAAGAATATTTTAGGAAAAACAACATCTATTTATTATAAATAATTAACTTAACTAGTTTACTTAATTTTCTCAAATTAGTCTACTAATTCTTTTATTAAAGACCAAATGTAGTATGATTTATAAATAGAAAAAAAAATTATTCTCTCTCTATCTTATGAGTAGACCTAGAAGAGTTTTTTTTTTCACATAATATATGTATTTATTAAAAATTTCCTTACAAAAGATTATACCCCTTTTCCCGGTTAAGAGTGTTGATTAATGATTATCTCACTCCGCCACAGTACTACCGTTAGGTGCGTTCGTAACGATGGTTTTGAGTCCTTGAGGAATGAAACGAATATTCACATACATCCTTAATCGTAATACATTTTTTATTTTTAAGATTAATATTTTAAATAGTTAAAATTATAAAAATTAAATTGTATCAAAGTTAAAATACAAAGCTAAGTTTAAACAAATCAAAACCACTACTGTAGTTGTATATATTACTCATATCACTTGAGAGTTGAGATACATCAAGTTTTTTTTATATCTATCATGTCAAATTCTCCGACTACACATAACCATGTATCCTGTTTTTTAAATATTAATATTTAAATATAAATTCATACGAAATAAAAAATGACATGTAACCATGTATGATATACAAAACTTGACACAATAGATATAAGAAATTTGACCTAAGTTTTTTCTCATCACTTATACTCCACACCACACATTAATGCAACCTAGCCACTATTATCTTTTGTTTTTAATATAAGATTCATTTTATAGGTAAATTTTACATTAAGAACCAAAATTAGTAATTTTATAATTTAAAATATATGTTTGGTCTGATCTTTAATTTCATAAAGATTTCAGTTAATTTTTTTTAATAATAAAGATTTCAGTTAATTAGCTAGTTAATTTTAAATTATAACGTATTTTTTAATCCATTAATCTTAATATTGTTAGTTTCATTTAATAAGAAGATCCTAACTCAAACAAAATTAAATAGTGATTCAACAATTAGATAAGTATGTTTAAATTTTAACCATTTAATGTAAGCAAATAAAAGGGGAGAAAAATTTAAAGACCCTAAAACTTATGAAATCTCAATTTAAGTACTTCAATTCATATAACATCTTTGATAGATGAAAACTTAAATTGCAATTATAAAATCATGAAGAAAAAAAATCAAAATGCTCTTATGCTGAAAAACGTGCTGTTAATATTATTTTAAACTTGTCATTTTACATTTTAGAATTTGTTATTTCCAAATAAATTGTATATAAAAAACGTTATTAGTATTATCAAATTTAGACTTGTGATTTTATAATTAGAATTTATTGTTCCCAAGTAAATTGTGAAACATTTCGCCTGAGAAACAAAAGGGCATCTGGGTCCTTTCCTTATAATTTCGTAATTTCAAATTAGGTTTTTGTGTTTGACAGGGATTATATGAATTGTAGTATCTAATTTGAGATTTTATAATTTTTACAGTCTTTAAATAACTTTTTTCTGCAAATATAAAAATGAATGTTGTTGCATAATTTTTTATGCTTGTGGATTATATTAAAAATGCGTTAAAACATATATTTAATCTTTTAATTTAGTTCCTTAATTTTAAAAAATATAGTTATAACCTTTAATTCTAAAATTATTAGCCTAAAAAAAACAGAGAGAGAGAGAGAGCAGCACAGCACACCAAAAAAGGAAAGGAGAGACTGGCCCCAATTTCTCCTTCACATCCCATTCCTATTCCCGAGCTTGCACGCCAAGCATCTTGTGGTGGTGACCACTAGAGCTGGTAAAACGGGCCAACCTGCGGGTTGCGAGTTGGCCCGTAGTGGGTTGTGGGTTATTTGGGTCGAGCTCAAAAGGCCCGTTTTCTGGCGGGTTGGTATTCTGCCAACCCTAACCCACCAAGGTGGGTTGGCGGGTCAACCCACCAACCAGCCATATTTTTTTTATAAAAAAAAATTCTTATAAATAATCAAAAATTAAAAAAAATCAGAAATGATTTAAAGTATTCCAAGCATTCACACAAAATTACAACACATTAAAACACAAAATATACAATTGTTCAAAGTTCAAACTCTAAACATGATAAAACACAAGTTCAAATATAAATTTTTCCTACCTTTCCAACCCATCTCCTAATATTTTAATATATATAAAAATTAAAAAAAATTTAGGCAGGTTGGCGGGTTGAGGGCTGACCCATGGCGGGCTCGGGTTGTGACGGTGCGGGCTCATATTTTTCAGGTGGTGGCGGGTTGACCAAAGGCCAACCCTAACCCGCCTCTTTTGGCGGGTTGGCGGGTTCAACCCGCGGGTCCAACCCATATTACCGGCTCTAGTGACCACCCGACGCCCGATTATTAATTTGAAATGTCATTTCCCCTCATTGTTTGAAAATGTCCAAATCTTACACTTAAGTCTTTATATACATATACATATATACATATATAATCCCTTCAGTTTTATTTATAAGCTTCAAATTGGGAGAGAGGTATGGTCTATTTTATAAGCTTCAATTTTGTACCTATCTTAACATTTAATGTATTTTTTCTAATTTTATCTTTAATTATTCATTCTTTTTTTTGGTCATAATATCTCTTATCACATTTTTCCACACATTCTTTTTTTTTTCTCATTTATTACAAGGGCATATTTGAAAACAAAAAGAAATATTTTTAACCTACTTATTACTTTTAACTAATTTTAACTAATTATTCATTATTCATAAATTAGTTATTAGAAGTTTATAATAAAGACTGGAGGGAGTATAAGTACAAATGTTTCAACACGCACAAAGCTTGAACCAGTGAGTCTTCCAAGTCCTTCTTCAATCAAGTCGCCCCAAGAAGCAAGCAAGCCAACAGGCTCCATGCATTATGAAAGCGTGTGGGTCACAAAACTTCCATAAATAATATAATTTCACTATCGTCCCTCTTTAGTTATCAAATTGCTCTTTTATGCTTGGGGTATGAGCAAACAGCTCTTTCTATATATCTCACTGATCTTAAGCTTCTTCCTTCTTCATCTTCACCCTCCTTCCATGCTAAGCAAACGATGCTTCAACCCAATAATAATCTCCTTTCTTTAATCATCACTTTCATCATGTTCTGGTCATGGTCGACACTTAACGGCGTCGTTTCCGACCCACAGGCCAATCTCTTAAACAAAGGATGCACCCCATCCAACGCGTTCGCCGTGTCCAGCTTCTCCATCTTCAGTGGCAATGTGAACGAAACGTTTCGAGACATCAGAGAGCAGATTGTCGGCATGAACAAGCACTTCGCGACGGCGCAGAAAGCAAACCCAGAAAACCCCGTTTTCACCCTTTTTCAGTGCAGAGACTACCTCTCCATTCATGACTGTGTCACCTGCTTCGACGTCGCTGCCGTACATATTCGCCAATGCCCTGCCGGAGCACAAGGTGGCCGTGCCGTCTACGATGGCTGCTTCCTCAGGTAGTACAAACTAGTCCATTTCTTCTTCTTCTAGTCTGATCTTTTCTTTCTCTGAATAATATATCATATAAAGATAATGAAATTTATTGCTCGCATTATTATACAGTTTTTACGTTGATTAATTAAACTGTAGCAATATAATAGAGACCAAAAAAAAAAAAAACACCTAATCGATCAAGTGGCAGGATTATTCGGTTGGAATATCGTAAAGGTCCAGTCACAAACCTTGAGGTAACAAAGGAAAAAACAAAGTATAGAGACAAAGGAGAGAAAATAGACTTTGGTTTATTTTTATAGAAGGCAGGCATAAATAACGACCGAGATTTGTAAATTTTGATTATATATTGAAGCTGTATGTCTATTTCAGTCAAAACTTTTGAAATTTATGTTCATAAGAAATATCTTATTCTAAGGGTTATAGTACAAATTTGTCTTGGTAGTTTTCACTTAAGAGTGTTGGTCACCTGAAAAATTTTTTAGGATACAAATTTGTTCTAAAAGTTTAAAATCATAGCAATTTTACCTCTTATCGTTAAAAAACCAATATTGATAGTTAAAATAGTGTCTTGACCTACCACGGGCCAACCCGTAACCTGCGGGGTGGCCCATATTACCCCTCTAAGTATAGAGCAAAATTACTATGATTTTAAATTTATAGGACAAATTTGTACTAAAAAAACTTCCAAGTGCCTAATGTAAAAACTTCGCATAAAAATTTGCTCCTTAACCTCTATTAACTTAGAAAACTGATATATGATATCTAATTTTGTGTATTGAGGTACGAGATCAGTGCTTTCTTTGACCAGACACTGGACAGTTTCAATGCCGTATTGTGTGGTAATCAAACTGTAAGGGAATCCACCACATTATTTACCTCAGTTGGGCAACAAGCGCTCATGAATCTGCAAACAACAACACCCAAAAAGCAAGGGTTTTTCGTGACAACAAAAGCACAATTATTGCCTGATAATAATAATAATGGTACAACTATTTATGCTTTTGCTCAGTGTATTGAAACTATCACACAGCGTGGGTGTGAAGATTGCTTGAAGGCTGGTTATAGCAATTTGCAGACTTGTCTTCCAAATTCTAGTGGTAGGACTGAAGCTAATGGGTGCTTCATGAGATACTCCACCACTTCCTTCTTTCCAGATAATAACCAGACGTTTCATATTGTACCCTTGATCAAGCAAGGTACGTACATATCTTTGATTCTTAATATAAGAGCTACTCAATTAATTTGAATAGATTAATTAAGAAAATTAGTTAAGTTAGTTATTTGTAACAAATATGAATTGAATTTTCTAAAGTATATCCTTTTTAATCATGATTATATTTTATATTTAAGACCAAATCAAATCCCCAACTAGTTATTATATTTAGGACAGGAGATAGTATTTCCTTCTTCAAATCATAGTGATGATATCACACTCTACTTTGGATGCATTTAGTTAATTGCCTTAGTGATTGCACATGTACTCAAAATGACAATTGGGTTTGCTTATCTGTGTAGTTCTGAATGAATCCCTCAAGCTAACTAAGTTACATATGTATTATGTATGTTAGAAGGTTAGATGATTTTACTTCGTTATTAGTCATAATCACCAATTTAGTTAGTGATCCTGAAAGACTTACCTATAGGGTCATATATATATCACTGTATTAAGCATCCTCACCAAAAACAAAAACAAAAGAGGTTAACATAGGTCCTCACCTCATTAAATCACTTATAGAAGGGTTGATTAGCTCAGTTGTAGGCGTTGATTCTTGATTAATAAAACCCTTCTTTGTTTAGTTAATGCTCCTTCCAGTTCAATATATAAGCATCAACTCTTTGAGGGGGCTTAGTTCTTTTTACAAGTTACAATTTGGATTTATCTAATTGTTTAATGCATTTTTTCACTTTTACCCCTAATTAAGTGTATTCTCTCCCTCATTTCTTTTTTTCATTTATTCTCTCTCATATCTTTTTGACTCATTCTCTCTTCCACTTACCCTCTCCACAGAAACAAAGGTGTTTTAGGAAAATAAGTTATAGTTTTTTATATTTATTGTCTTTAATCACTTTAAACCAACTTTTTGAATTGCATGATTTGGTTAATTAATTTGATGCTTATATTTTGAATAAGAGAAAGCAATATCTTATTTCAGTGCCTGATTAGACATGGATATACATAGCCATACATAAATATTGACACATTAACAGTGTGTTCTTTACTTCTGTGTCTTGCAGGTTCAAATAAGAAGGGTACCATTAGAGGAGTAATTGTTGGAAGTGCAGCTTTTGTTTTGATCCTTCTTACACTATTAGCTTGGATTAAACGACCAAAAAGACCTAAGAGATCAGTTCCTAGGGGTAAACACCTTGAAAAGTACTCCTGTATATATTTTTTTAGTAATTGAAAGTGATGGTTTGGTCACACTTTCCCTTGAAAGAAAATGATATGTTATGGATGTTTAATTAATCTCTATGAAAAAAGGAATCCGTAACTGCTTTTTCTTAGAGACATGACTTGGGTTACGTTTTCCTTGTTTTCCTTGACAGGAGACATATCTGGAGCAAGTAAGTTGGAAGGCCCAATTCATTTTAGTTATTGGGAGCTGAAGTCTGCTACTAAAAGTTTCAGTGCAGAAAATAAACTTGGAGAAGGAGGATTTGGTGCTGTGTATAAGGTAACCATATATTTTGATTCTCAATTTTTTTATATAGATCATGTTCCAACGCAAAGATGTATTAAGGGAATACTTTCATTTAGTGTTATAAATAGGTCAAACTTCCAGCTTTCTTGACATTCTTCATTTTCATACATAGGGTACTTTGAAGAATGGGAAAGTAGTTGCTGTAAAGAAATTAACTTTACGCCAGTCTAAAAAGGTGGAAGAAGAATTTGAAAGTGAAGTGAAGCTTATAAGCAATGTTCATCACCGAAATCTCATTCGACTGCTCGGATGTTGCAGTGAAGGCAATGAGAGAATTCTTATATATGAATATATGAAAAACACCAGTCTGGATAAATTCTTATTTGGTATGTTTACCACCTAACAAAGCTTCTATATAGTCCTTCAATTTTTAGAAAGTGAATTTTCGTGTAAAATTATGACATGTGGACATATTTTCATGTAACAAATATATAACTAGCTCTTCACATGTCATAATTTCATTCAAGAATTCAATAACAAAACATGTTAATGTCTCGTCAAATTCTCCTTTTAATAAATGTTATTCTTTTTCCTCAACCCTTTAATGTGTGTAAATTTGTGAAATAGGTAAAAACAAAGGTTCTCTTAGTTGGAAGCAGCGTTATGATATAATTTTAGGAGTAGCAAGGGGTTTGGCTTATCTACATGAAGAATTTCATGTTCGTGTCATACATAGAGACATAAAGACTAACAACATTCTCTTAGATGATGATCTCCAACCAAAAATTGCTGATTTTGGCTTAGCAAGGCTTTTACCAGAAGAAAAATCTCATCTTAGCACAAAATTTGCTGGAACATTGTAAGCCAAAATAATAAATAATTCATATTGATGACACACATACATTACTATTTCATACTCAAAATATTGTTTCTGCATCGATTTGAGCCATTAACTACAATAAACATGTATATTTCAGAGGATACACAGCACCAGAATATGCAATTCATGGTCAATTATCAGAAAAGGCTGATATTTATAGCTACGGTGTTGTAGTTCTAGAAATTATCAGTGGTGAACGAAGCAATGAATTGAAGGTACAAGGTGAATTTGAAGGCGAATTCCTCCTTCGAAAAGTAAGAAAATTTCTATGATTAATTTAAAATATTATTTTCATTATAGAAAATTAGAATGCGGGATATTATTTCAACCACACAGAAGTTTTGCTTTGTCTTGTTTGCTCTTCTTATTCCATTTCCCTCTAATTCACTTGATAGGCTTGGAAACTATATGAGAGAGACACACACATCGAGTTGGTGGATGATACCTTGAACCCTAATGATTATAATGCAGAAGAAGTGAAGAAAATCATAGAGATTGGTCTGCTATGCACCCAAGCATCTGCAGAATTAAGGCCATCAATGTCTGAAGTCATTGTTCTGCTTCAAGGCAAGGGCTTATTAGAGAATATGAGACCCACCATGCCAATCTTGATTGAAACTTAATACTAGAGGTCCTGTACCACATCTCTACACTAATTCCTCTATGTCAACCGTCATGGCCTTCGCTATTTTATTATCGGCAAACTAATGTATATTTTTCATTTAAAGAGTAAGAGTATTGTTGGAGACATTCTTCTGGTTCTTAATATAAGACCTAATTAATTAAGTTAAGTAGATTAATTATGTTATTTAAATTAGGTAATATGATTTTTTTTAAATACTCTAAACATCTTCCTTAATTTCCTCCCTCACTCTCCTACTCGATTATTGTTTTGAATACCAATATGGTTAATTTGAGAAAAAGTTGATAAACACGTAAAGTAGGTCATATATATGACCGACATCAACTCCCATCCAACATTAAAGACTGGAGAAGTGTTAATTAAAATATAATTAGTTGGTTAGCTAAGGTCTTAGCTTAGTTCAAGACTTGTCCAGCTTCAAGCATGAAAGTAGAGCTGCTTCAAAATATATATATATTGTTCCTCTAAGAAATTTTTATGTTTTGTGAAATTCTGGAATTATCTTTTAATTGTGTGGATATTGACCTCCTTTATTTTTTGTTGCTACCAAAGATATAATTATGTTAAAATTTCGTATGTCTTATATCTAAGGGAAGACTTTATCAAAATTTTTCAAATTAGAGTAAGCTTTTTTTTATCCTTAAAGAAAACATCTTTAATTTTAAAGTTAAAATTTCGAGTTCAAAACAGTTAATCAAACCAAATCTGCTCACCATGAAACTTTAGATATATGTTCCTTATCGGCCATAGTTTCTCACTAAACTAGGGGGGGAAAAAGGCTCTTTACAATTTCATGCATTTATATGGAATTATCTTCGCTTCTTAAACATGATATTTGCAATTATTTTTGTAGTAATGCAGTTAAGCTAGACATGGAACTTTTTGCGCTGAAACTATTGATTTATTGTTATTGAAATTTTGGGACATATTAGGGAATTTTGTCAACATTTTTTAAAATAAACAAAACAATCCATTAAATTTCTAAATAAGCAATAAGTAAATTCAATAATACTACCTCTAGTCCTAATTATAAGACCTCCTTTGCAGACTACAAACGAGATCTTATAATTAGGACCGGAGGTAGTAATAGCTCCAATCCTTAATATAAGAACTAAATAATTAATTTATGAATTTAAGAAAATTAGTTAAGTTAATTATTTATAATAAATAATGAACCAAAATAGTGACAAGACAGAGAAAATGTATATTGTATTCATTAATCTGTTGTGTACACTGTATATGCAATATATAGACTAAGTTAACCAGTACAATGAAAACATGTATAAAGGAAAAGAAGAATATGGAATAGTAACACTAGGAGGGGTTGATTGGGCTTGTCATTGTAATTGGGCTTCAACATTCCCCCGCAAGGTGAGCTGGGCTGGTAGCACAGTGAGACTCAAACGTAGACAAGCAAACCTTGACGAAAGAAGAGCTTTTGTTAAGATACCAGCAATTTGGTCTTTGGAGGAGACATTTAGAATATGAATTAAGCTAGTAGCAAGTCTCTCACAGACAAAATGATAATCCAGAGAGATATGTTTGGGCCGGGAGTGAAAAGTTGGGTTAGCTACAAGATATGTGGCACCAAGATTATCACAATGGAGAAAAGGGGCCTCTGGAAGATAAATATGAAGTTCATGGAGAAGATTTTGAAGCCAAATGAGTTCACTAGTGGTGGTGGCAATTGATTTATATTCTGCTTAGTGTTGGGTCGGGCAACAGTGGGCTGCTTTTTTGAGCTCCAAGTAATCAAGTTAGGACCAAAGTAAATAGCAAATGCACCAGTGGATCTAGAATTATCGGGGTTTTCTCCCCAGTCAGCATCAGAGAAGGCAGAAAGAGTGTGGGAAGTGGATGGTTTAATGTGGAGAGCATAATGAGAAGTACTGTTAAGGTACCTAAGGATTCATTTAACCGCAGTCCAATGATGCTCTTTGGGATTGTGCATAAATTGGTAGACACGATTAATGGCAAAGGTGATATTTGGTCGTGTGAAGTTTAGATATTGTAAGCTTCCAACAATGCTACGATAAAATTGAGGATAAGGAAAATCAATGCCAGACAGGGAAGTCATATGAGTACCAAAAGACATGGGTGTCGAGACAGGTTGGGCATTAGACATTTTGGCCTTGAGAAGCAAATCAAGGATGTATTTCTTTAGAGATAGAAGTAGGCCTGAATAAGAAGGTAAAACTTCAATCCTTAAGAAGTAGTGTAGCCGACCAAGATCTTTAACAAGGAAGGAGTGACTGAGTACTTGAATCAGTGCTTGAATAGCAAGGGGAGAAGAGCCAGTCACAATGATATCATCCACATAAATTAAAACATACACTGTGCATTTCGAATTGTGGCAAATGAAAAGAGAAGAATCAGATTGAGAGGCACGAAAACCCAATTCAAGCAATCGGGAACTTAATCGAGCAAACCAAACACAAGGGGCTTGTTTTAGACCATAAATTGCCCTATTTAATTTGCAAACATGAAGAGGTTTGTGAGGACGAACAAAACTAGGTGGTTGTTGCATATAGACAGTTTCATTGAGAAAGCCATGAAGAAAGGCATTACTGATGTCAATCTGATTGATAACCCAACCATGAGATACAGCAATAGAGAGAACCAAGCGAAATGTGGTCGGCTTAACAACCGAAGAGAAAGTGTCAGAGAAATCAATACTTGGTTCTTAGTGGAACCCCTTCGCCACAAGATGAGCCTTCAACTTTTCAAGAGAGCCATCAGGATTGAACTTCTGCTAGAATACCCATTTGCAACCCACAATATTCATGGTGGGAGAGTGAGGAACAAGCTCCCAAGTATTTGTAGAGAGTAGAGCTTGAAATTCATCTTGAAGTGCTTGACGCCATGTTGGTGATTTGAGGGCATGAGAGACAAAGGTAGGGACTGTAAAACCCTTAACCTTAAAAACATCCTAAATCATCATAAAGTCCACTACTATGGTAGAAAAGGAAAGCTGTTAAAACGAGCTACCATAATAGAAGGAAAATTTCATATTTTTAGAAATTGACTTTCAAACTCGGGTCAACCCGATAGACGTTGCATGCAACTAAAATAATCCATTCATATCTACTGGGCCTCCGAGCCTCCGGCCCGGGTAACACATACATCAAAGTCAGCCCATCTAAAAAGTTTTCAACTATATAATCCAGAGTTCATCAAACACTAGCAATGGCCTCCGGCCAATCAAAATAAGGAGATACATTCTCTCCAGTTTACAACAAGGCCGGGTAATCAAATATATCAAAAAGCAGTCCTAAATGTGGCAATATATACTAGTCATACATATACAAATGCTAGAGACCTAAAGCTAACCAAGCTCAAGCCTCTGCGTCTCTTCCCGAAGGCGCACGCCCGGAACCTTCACCTGAAAACATTGTAAACCACGGGGTGAGACAAAGTCCCAGTAACCAACCTTTCCAATACTAGGTACTACTAAATAGGTGCTCGTGAGGTGTCAAGTGGGGCAGTTCACAAATAATATAAAACGATAGCCACAACAATTCATGCAAGTGCAATGATGCAATCCCATCAACCAAATCCCTCACTTTGGGGGATTTTCAGGAGCCGGAGCCGGCCTATCCCTCACTATGGGGGACGTAAGGAGCCATAAAAGGCCTATCCCTCACTATGGGGGACGTACTAAGCCAACCATCATGCATTAATGGAGGCCTTACCACGTGGTAGTAACTATCAAACTCTCACCAAATCCCAAATCATGCATCATGCTCAAATCATAATCAAAGAGTAATAATCATTTCACAATTAACCTCATTCAGTGGCATATCTTTCACAATTCCAAAAATGCATTCATCATAAATCAAAACCCCACAAGACGGTTTTCCCTTTTTATATACAACATATAGTTTGAACACAATTACTATTTGGAGCACAAAACACAAATCTACTCACAATACCACAGAAGCAAGTACTAAGGATTGGAAAGTGGTTACCTCTTGCCTGAGCAAGGAATAACAAACCGACAATGTGGCCCCGTGCACCACCACGACTCACAACCGGTCTACACAAGCACACAAACACACAACCATCATATATTAGCTTTCAAACTAATAATGTGGCCAAAACAACACTTGGGGACACAAAATTCCTATCTCCCATCAAAACTCTACCCAACTCAAAGGGTATAACTATCAAAACAACACTTCAAAGTCCTCAAAGTCTATTAAAACATCAAGTCTCCTTCCAAGCATCAATTAGAATTCAAACCTCAAGGACCCACTATAGGAATTCAACCTCCAACATCTCATTTGAGCAATTAAATCTAAACCGATTAAACATCCAATTTAACCCTCCTTAACATAACCCAATTCACAAAACTCAAAATCAATCTCTACATTATCATCCTCAATCCCAAATCATCCATTTCCATAAACCCTAGCTCCAAAAACTCAAGATTCTTTAAATCCAAGAAAACTACACCGATTAAATACTTAAACTAACCCAATGCAATCAATTAAACTCAAAACAATCGGTCAAAAACCTCAGTTTCATCACAACTTAGAAAATTCTAGGGTTCCACCAAAAATCCTCAGAAATTCCAATCAAGAAGATAGATTAGAGGTTAAAATCACTTACTTGAGGTAATAGATCCTTAGAAATGTCTCCTCCAAGCCAAAAGTTCGAAACCCTAGCAGAGCTTCTCTCTCCTCCTTCAGATTTTTCTTATTTTCGCACGTTGAACCCTCCCGCGACTATATAGATTCGCGACCTTTCGCCGCGGCGAACTAATCTTGAGAGGGATTACTCGCCTGAAAACCTGACTTCGCCGCGGCGAAAGCTTCCCGAGAGGAAACTCTCGCTCGCCCACAAAACATTCGCCGCGGCATACCCCTACCTTCGCCGCGGCGAAACCTTCCCGAAAGGGAAGCCTCGCTCACCTGAACAACTTCGCCGCGGCGTCCCCTAGACTTCGCCGCGGCCAAACCTTCCCGAGAAGACACTCCCCTCTGAAACTCCCGGTGCGCCGCGGCGAAGTTTGCTTCGCCGCGACGAACATACCCTGAGAGGGGTACGTTCACCTATTCCTCCAACAAACCTCAAATTCAACCCAAACACCCAGATCAAGATTAAATCACTAATCTATCCTCAAAATCAACCCAAAAGAGGCTATTAAAACCCGATAAAAACTTAGGATGTTACAGGGACTAATAGTGAAGAAATTGAGGAGGAGTAAGCTCGTGGTGGTAGAGAAGAGACAAAATCAGGGGCTAGGGACTTTTGTTTGAAAATGTGAGCCTTGGATCTAGTGATTATAGGGTGAGAGGGCAGTGGGAGTGGCAACTATTGTGACAGAGGAGTGGTGGTAGTAAAGGAAGAGGATGAAGAAGCAAGAGAGGCCGAAAGGGAGATTGGGTTGACGGTGCAAGGGAGAGAGAATGAGGGCTCGTGTGAGGTTGAGGGCTAGGATTATGTGTGGTGAGTGGGTTTGGATTGTTTGCCGTAACTAGGCTTAAAGGGATAGGCTATAAGTGAAGTGAGGGGAGGGTTATATTTTATGCATTAGAAGTGGGTGAGAGAGCACTTGGGGCCGAAAAAAGAAAGAATGATTCATCAAAAATCACATCTCTGGATGTATAAACTCGACCTATGGGCAAGTGTAGACACAAGTATCCCAAATGATTTGGTGCATAACCGATGAAAACACAAGCTAAGACCGTGGGGCAAGTTTGTCAGATGCATAAGGTCTTAAATTAGGCCAGCAGCATGCGTAAAAAATTTTCAAAAAAGAGTAATCAGGCTTGTGCTTGAACAGCAATTCGAAGGGGCTTTTTTTTATGCAAAACTGATGAGCTAGGTAGTCTGTTTAAAAGATAAGTGGCAGTAGCAAAACCAAAGGACCAGTAGCTTAGTGGCACAAATGCGTGGTGCATAAGTGCCAGTCCTGTTTCCACTATTGTACGATGCCGTCTTTCTACAGTTCCATTCTATGTATGTGTAGGAGGACATGTGATTCAATGATATATACCAAGGGAAATTAAGTCTTTATTTAGAGAGTGAAATTCTCCACCCCAGTTTGATTGGAAGGATCAAATTTTTGAATTAAATTAAGTCTCAACAGAAGCTTTGAATTGATGGAATACTGAATGAAGCTCACTTTTAGTTTTGAGTGGATAGAACCAAATAAAACGAGAATAATCATCAACAAAGGAGGCATAATACTGATAACTGTTTACAAACACAGTGGGAGATGGTCCCTATACATCACAAAATATTAGTTCAAAAGGAAAAGAAGAACGATGTGAAGAAGCTGGTGAGGGCAGGTAATGACTCTTGGAGGTTCTACAGGCTGAACATTGGTGAGAGGAAGACTTGGTTGTGACTGAAAGAGAGTTTGATCAAATGACTTTGTGAATAGTACAATAGGAGGGATGACCAAGATGTTGATGCCAGTGAAGAAAGGAAGTACGAGCACCATAATGTGCCTGAGGGGAGTTGGAAAAATGACTAGGATACATTCTGTTGAGACTAGGACCTTGATGCAAAATTTCCCTTGTTTGTTTGTCCTTCACAGAAAAATAACCAGAATGAAATTCAAAAAAGACATTATTATCATCACAAAATTGATAAACTGATAGCAAATTTTTTATAATAGGAGGAACATCAAGAAGATTAGTGAGAAGATAATTGCCAAAAGCTGTGTTGATTGTTTCAGATCCTTGGTGTTGAATGGACATCGGAGAACCATTACTGACTAGAACTGAATCATTTCCATAGTATGGCTCACTATTGAGATCTAGTTTAGAGAAGTCATTAGTCATGTGATGAGTAGCAATAGTGTCAGGATACCAAAGAGAGTCATCTGCAGAAGATAGTTCAGAGTAATGGACAGCAAGAGAAGGAGGTAGAGGTGCTTGTAGTGCATGATTTTGACAATCAAAACAAGTTAAGGCAGTATGACCAAATCTATCACGCATCTGGCAAGCCAATTCATCAAAGTCAGGTCGAAAATAGGAAGGTGAATACCTCCCTCTTCCTTTAAAGAATCCACGAAAGAATCCACGAAAAGGTTGATTTTGGTCGAGACCTAGGATACCGCGACCTGGGTTTGGAAAACCACATCCATAGCTGGTGAAGCGTCCACCTTGACCACCTCTAGAAGAGGACGCTGAACCTCTATGAACAGCATTTGCAGTGACCACAGTACGAAGAGAAGTGGAGTTTTGTTGAGAAAGATGCTCTTCAAAGACAAGTAAATGGCTTAAAATAGCTTCAACAGAAAGGAAACTTCTCTGTGTGGAGAGAACAGTGACCATAGTGTCAAACTCTGAACCCAATCCAGCTAAGAGATAAGTGACAAAATCATAATCTACAACGGGTTTTCCTGCTACTGCCAAGGAGCCTACTAACATGGTTGCTCTGCGATAATAGTCAGTGATACTCTCACCATCTTTCTTGAGTTTGGTGATTTGTTGATGGAGATAGACTAGTCGGTCTTGAGTTTGTTGAGAAAAGGAGGTCTCCAGTGCTATCCACAAAGTACGTGAGGCTTTGTGATGAATAAATTGAGGGATAATTTTTTCAGTGAGAGATGCAAGAAGTATTGAGAGAACCAACTGATCTTGCTAGAACCACGTAAGGTAATCTCTGTTGGGGAGACCAAAAGAGAGCTTTTGAGGTGGAGGAGGTATAGAGCCATCAATATATCCCAAAAGTTGTTGACCATAAAGATAAGGAAGAAGTTGAGCTCTCCAGATTAGTTATTTTGGGTTAGTTTGACTGTAATGTAGTGGGGTAGGTTGGAAGGTGGTGAAGCAAGAGATACAGAAGAAGATGAAGCAGTATTGGGAGGAGTGACCATGGAGGTGGAGGATGGAGATGATAAACCTAACATTTTGGGAAGGATGTTACGACTTTGATGCCATAATGAACCAAAATAGTGACAGGACGGTGAAAATGTATATTCTATTCATTGATATGTCGTGTACACTGTATACGCAATATATAGATTAAGTTAAACAGTACAATAAAGACACATATAAAGGAAGAAAAGAATATGGAATCGTAACACTAGGATGGGTTGATTGGGCTTGTCATTGTAATTGGGCTTCAACGTGAGTGTTGTATTCTTTAAAATATTTTTATTAATCATATATGTTAAAATAAAAATCTTTTAATATGTGCAATCAGTATGGGGGCTACTGTGGGGGAAAATGAATAAATATAAGAGATAATATATCAAAATTTTATATTTAGAACTAAATTATATTTCTAACTAACTCTTATATTTAGAATAAGAGGTAATACTTTATTATTTAAATCAAATAAAGTAATTTGATTCAATTAGAACTAAGCATTATAAACATGATTATGATTGATTTATGGGATAAGGATCTTTCCAGTATACCCTCTTTCTCAATTTTTCTCTTAAAATCCTTTCTCCACCCTTAGAAAAAAAAATGAATGACTTAGATATAATATTTTATAAATATTTATAAGTTATTTTTTTATATTACAAGTGTAAACTGATCCAGAATAATTTTTTTAAATTTAAACTTATTTCTTTATATTTTAATAATATTTTATAAGATATTACATCTAAACTTTTTTTTTAATCTAAGGGTAGAAAAGGGATTTCGAGAGGAAAAAAGAAAGAAAATTTTGAGAGGATAGATTTTCAACCCATAAGCACGGTTGTCAATTTTTCCCATGTTTAGATTAGCTTTTGACTAATCTTATTTACAAGTCAAAAGCTGTGACTTACTTATAATTCATGTAAAAGTAGTTTTTTTAAAAAAAAAAATCAAAAGATATTTTTACTGTTATGTTTATGTTAGTTTTATGCTTCTCTATGCATATTTCTTGTGTTCTTAACCAGTTTTTTGTTATTTATTTTTAATGTTTTATTAAGTGAAAATAATTTCTAACATATTTTTATACTACCTCCGGTCCTTATTATAAGACCCCGTTTGACTTTTTGTTTGGTCCTAATTATAAGACCCCAATCCATTTTATCTCTCATATTTATACATTTTTTTCCAAGATAATCCTTCTAATAATGATAGTTCTAGCCAATATACTTAATTAGCAAGGATATTTTAGAAATGACAACACTTATTTATTACAAATTACTAACTTAACTTACTTCCTTAATCTCCTCAAATAAGTCAACTGGGTCTTATAATTAGGACCGGAGGTAGTAACATTTTTAATTTTTAATATTATTTTTTAATTTTATGTTTACATAAATTGTGCAAAGTATATCTAATTATATAATATTATTTGGTTAAAAAAATTTCACATTATTACGATTTCTAATTTAAATATATTTTAGTCATTAAATATAGCTCCTCCTTATTATAATAATTTAAAATTATTATATTTTGTAAATTCATATTTGTAATTATTTTTATTATTTAATAAAAATCATATTTATTTTGGTTATTTTACAAACTAAACTTACTTATCCAATCATAATCTAAATAACTTTTCTATTCTACAAACTAACTTTCATAAAAATCAATCCCAACATAAATTGTATTACTTAATCTAACTTTTATTTAATCTAACTTATTTAGAAATCAGCTTAAAATTAAGTTTTTTTTTTTACCATCAATCTAAACAAACTCTTAGTTAATAATACGACTTAAGCAACACCCAAAATATACGGCTGCCTTCCTATTCTAACTTCTATTAGCCGACTAAATTATCTATGGTATTTTTTTAAAGAAAAATAACAAAAAAAAAACTCGAAAATTGCATAATCCAATGAGAAGCTTATATAACAATGTGCTGTTATTTTCAAATCTAAGTATCGTCAAAATCACCAACAAGTGTTGGTCCAAGTGGAAGGGACTTGGGTCCCTTAAACATCATGTCCTTTAAACATCATGTCTTGGGTTCAATTCTTGGGACGGTATGTATGGAAAAAACACTGTTGGGAAAACAAATCTGATTTAGGATTTAATAATTTTCAGGGTTTTTTTCTGCTTTTGTTTTCAAATATTCCATTCTTACCCTTCGGACCAAAACGCTCGTTTCACTCTCTTCTGTCTCCCCAATGCTCGTGTTCACGCATCTCCTCCTCCCGTCGCCTGCTTGGTCCTCCAGCCTCTGCCTTCCAGTAGTTGCCGCCGCCTCCGCCGCCTCCTGCTCCGTCGTTTTTGACCGTTGCCGTCATCTCTTCTGTAGAGTCGCTCGTTCTCGTTGTCCTATTCGGTCCTTCATTCAGGTTTCTGAGTTCTTGCTCCTTGATGTGATTGAATCTCTGTTCTTTTCAGTTTATCATGGTAAAACCATAGCATATGTTGCCCTGTTCTTTGGTGATTTAGGTATTGCAAAATTACCAGCTTCTACTCATTATTTTGGGTACTCCCTTCGGTCCATAATATGAGAAGTTAGTTTAAGTTTTCTCACAAACCAAGGAATGTTAGTTAATTCATTAAATTTGTTTCAAATTGATGAAAGTTACCCATTAAAGAATGTGACTGGAAAATTCTCTCTCATCTCTTCAGCATTTAAAACTCTCTCCTCTCTTTGTAACAAGGATCAAAAGTGGAAAACTATCACTAATTGCCTTGTTAACCTCTTATATTTTGTACCAGAATTTTCTTCTAACCAATTTCTTATATTATGGAGCAAAGGGAGTATAAATATTCAGTATACGCATACCCTGCTTTACGGTGGTCTAATCTAATCATGCAGTGAGACTGATAGCCAATAAGTTATTCTTTGTTTTTGTGCAGATTGGATTTAATTCATGGGAATAGAAAATTTCTTTTAGGCTTTGCATTTTCCTATTATTTGTTAATTGTTATTTTTGTTTATATGATATCTAGACCTTTTTTCGCCTAATATTTAAGCTACTCTTCAGTTTATTACTGGTTTCTTGATATATACTATTTGCCTTTGGTCTTCATTCACGTGCGAGAGGGATAATAACCTTTGACGTTACCTGCAGCTTTTGAACTCGTTGAAGCATGTTCTCTGTTCATTAATCTCATGGAGCTTTTTGAGTTCTAAGAAATTCCAAACTTATTCAGCTGTTAATCTTAAAATTTTGTCCATGTCATTGGCCCTGTATTCTTGTGAACTGTGATGACTTGTTTTATCTACCACTTTTAAGTTGCTAATCCTTGATCTTCCTGGTTCAATCAAAAGTGAAGGAGGGGTTAGACTTAGAAGATTCCATCAATGAGAATGAGATTAAGCCTAAAAATAAAATAAAAACTGTGGCTGAGACATTATTGGGAGGAACAGAGACCAGCTCAGGCCTCATTGTGGCTTGCACGGGTATGATTTCTTCGCTGTGCTTTGTTTCTTCTTAAAAGCTCCCCCAACATATCAATTATAACCCTCAGAGACTATGCAAAAGCTTCTTTGGCCTCATTCTTTCAATTCTAGAAGTCCCTTTTCTTCCAATGATATATCATATATTTATCAAGTGGTTTCTTCCTGGGGTATATATATATCTTCTGACTTTAATGTATCTTCTCTCGGTATGTGATGATCTGTGCGCAATTCAAATAATCAACCGACATGAAGGACTCTGGTTTATGGTAGATGCATATTTCCCATCTTCAATTCTACATACAGTCTAATTTCATGCCTTATTAACTGGTCTAGTATATTGGTGGCTCTTGGACTGACAAACAACAAGAACTCGGGAACACAATCATTTTGAAGTCTGAACTCTCTCTTTAACCCCATCAGCAAATGGAAAAAGATAATAAGGACCCGGATGCCCATCTGGCCTCATCAAAGCCAGTTTAGTCACATCCAATGCCCCCTAGTCCTATCTCAAACCCCATACAAATTTCTCATTATATTTAGCCTTAGCAGCTTCCACTACTTCAACCTCAATCTTCATCATATCAGGGAAGTGACTGTAATTGGTTGCCAGCCATGGAATGATGCAAAATTTGGTTCTATATGAGGAAGAAATTATGCTTACTTGTGGTTTTCTCAAATAAAATTTGGGCAGCTTTAAAGTGGTATGTATAGTCCTTAATTGTGATGTCTATATGATGTTTGTTGCTCTAAAAATGAAGTGGATTGTGAAAATATGGGTTTCGTATGTGCAATTGTACATAAAGCCTTCTAAATGACTTTGCATAGTCAAGCTCCATTATTGAGTTTGTATGACATTCTTTCTCGGTTCCTTTTTCGAGCTTCTTTTTTCCCATTATAATACGATATTTTTGTTTAAGTTTGTATGGCATACTTTCTCAGTTCTTTTTTCGAGCTTCTTTTTTCCATTATAATACATGTTATTTTTGTTTGAGTTTGTATGACATACTTTCTCAGTTCCTTTTTCGAGCTTCTTTTTCCCCATTATAATACATGTTATTTTTGTAATCATTTTTATGTTATATATTGATCATTTTACTTTATTTTTTATTGAATTAAGATATTAAGTAATTAAGTAATTATAAAAAAACTCATGCCACTATCAATTATATAAAATAAGTGAATCAGAATTTTCCCCCTTTTTTCCCTCTAAGTTGATTTTAAAAACAATTGTTTCAAACATGTATGGTTTTTTTTTTTTCAAATGTGGCTTTTTTTTAGAACATTTACCGAAACAGATTTTTTACTTTTTTTGTTTCCAAAACTTGTTTTATAAAACTGTTTTGAGAACAAAAACATTGCAAACAGAAACAAACAAGGCCTAAAATAACTCCCATTCCCTCCAACCAAAGAAAGCTCATAACCTCACCTCCCCACTCCTTCCCTCCCTTATGTTTGAAATGAATGGACTAATCCTCCTTGCACGGCTTCTTTTTCTGCTTTACGCATAGAGAGAGCTAAGGGCAAATTAATATACCTGGGAACCACATTTTTTCCTCTTTGAATCTTTTTGCCTTCCTATTATTGTCGCATCCTAAAGTCGTTTATTTAATGCAACCAAACTTTTTTCCCTATAACATTGGTCAAAACAAATGTAGGCTAAAAGAAATCAAGTGGTGATTGGAAGGCTGAACCATGCATGTGAAGCAACGTTGCGAACTCTCTAGCTTGCTTTGTGCTGTATTTGTTCATCTTGCTTTTGTATGCAGTACTTGCTCTATGTACTATGAAATAGAAATCCATTGACTATGGCCAGTGTCATCTTTTATCGGACTGAACAATCAGAAAATGAATCCTGATCTGCATGCTCTTACCTGTGCGATTTACAACACTCATCACTCAATTTCTCAAGTGAAGCAACTCCACCTGGCTTTTCTCAAAAGGGGTATTCTGAATTCTGCACTTACAATCGGAAACCGCCTTCTTCAGTTGTACTCCAGGTGTGGTAGCATGGTAGATGCACGGCAGTTGTTTATGGAGATGCCTCAGAGAAATTGTTTCTCCTGGAGCACAATGATTGAAGGTTATATGAAGCTAGGTCACAAGTACAAGTCCCTGGAGTTATTTGATATCATGCCCCAAAAGAGCAATTACTCCTGGAATGTGGTTGTTTCAGGATTTGCGAAGGCTGGTGAACTAGAAATGGCCCATCCATTGTTCAATGCTATGCCCAGGAAAAACGAGCTAGTGTGGAATTCAATGATTCATGGTTATGTCCGAAACGGGCAACCTGGAAAAGCTTTAATGCTCTTCAAGAATTTGAATTCAGACCCATCAGAAGCAAGGCATCGGGATACATTCATTTTGGCAACTGTAATTAGGGCTTGCACAGATTTGTTGGCTTTAAGCTGTGGCAAACAAATCCATGCTCGCATTTTCATTGATGATATTGAACTTGACTCGGTCTTGTGTAGTTCGTTGATTAATTTATATGGAAAATGTGGTGATTTTGTTACTGCAGATCATATTATGGATGTTGTGGGAGAGACTGATGATTTCTCTCTATCAGCTATGATATCAGGGTATGCACATTCTGGTAGAATGAATGAGGCTAGAAGAATTTTTGAAAGAAAAGTTAATCCATGTCATGTCTTGTGGAATTCAATTATTTCCGGATATATATCCAATTGTGAGGAATTGGAAGCATTGGCTCTCTTCAACAGAATGCGTAGAAGTGGGGTTGAGGAAGACCCCTCTACTATTGCAAACATTTTGAGTGCTTGCAGTAGCTTGCTCATTATTGAGCTTGTCATACAGATGCATGCCCATGCTACTAAAGCTGGCGTATCCGAGGACATTATTGTTGCTAGTGCTTTGCTTGATGCATATGCAAAATGTCAAAGTCTTTATGAAGCTTGCAAATTGTTCAGTGAGCTCAAAGCTCATGACACAGTTTTACTTAATACGATGATCACTGTATATTCCACTTGTGGAAGAATTGATGATGCTAAAGGGATTTTCAAGACAATGTCGAATAAAACTATGATAACATGGAACTCAATGGTAGTGGGCCTCTCTCAGAATGCTTGTCCACATGAAGCATTAGATATCTTTTGTCAAATGGTTAAGCTGGACTTAAAATTGGACAAGTTTAGCATTGCCAGTGTAATCAGCTCTTGTGCAAGTACTTCATCCCTTAAACTCGGTGAGCAAATATTTGGTAAAGCTATTACTATTGGGCTTGAATCTGACCAAATCATTTCTACTTCCCTTGTTGATTTTTACTGTAAATGTGGGTTTGCTGAGATAGGCCATAAAATTTTTGATGGAATGATCAAAACTGATGAAGTCTCTTGGAATACAATGTTGATGGGATATGCTACAAATGGATATGGATTTGAAGCACTAGCCCTCTTCAGTGAAATGAGGCTTGCTGGTGTTAGACCTTCTGGTATCACTTTTATTGCGGTTCTCTCAGCCTGTGATCAAAGTGGTCTAGTTGAAGAAGGAAGAAATTGGTTCAGTAGCATGAAATGTGACTATAATATTGATCCAGGGATTGAGCATTACTCTTGCATGGTGGATCTTTTAGCCCGTGCTGGTTCCTTTAGGGAAGCAATGGATCTTATGGAAGAGATGCCTTTTGAGGCTGATGCAAGCATGTGGTCATCAATATTGAGAGGCTGTGTAGCCCACGGAAACAAGACTCTTGGCAAGAAGGCTGCTGAACAAATTATTGAGCTTGATCCTGGAAATTCGAGTGCTTTCATTCAATTATCTAATATACTTGCAACTTCTGACGATTGGGAAGGATCAGCTCAAGTAAGAAATTTGATGAGAGATAAGCATGTTCAAAAGAATCCAGGTTATAGTTGGGCAGATTGTTGAATAAGAAATTCTGCTGAGGCCCCCAGTTTTAGCCTTTCAGATGAAAAGGAACGAATTCAGGGAGAAAAACCCCCGTATAAGAACAAGCGATGCTGGTGGATTCTGTTTCTTGCGCTATGTTTTGCACTGATCAAATGATCTGAAGACAATGAATAGCTCGACTGTATTTTGATGGATTTTCTTTCAAATACATGTCATGGCTTCAGAGTCAAAAAATGGACCTGAAAATTTTGAAGAAAGAGGCAATGATGCGTTGGGGATGCATATCTGAAGCTAACAAATAAAGTATGTTGCACTTACCAACTCCTTTGACTTGACACGTGCAGACTACAGACTACAAAGCTCAAACCCGAAGCATATTTGAAGTAATAGAGAAGTAGACAGTCATTTCTCAGTTCTTGCGAATTCACTTGTTTAGATGTAATCACCTTCTGGTTCTTTGAATGAAGCCTTGATTATGTTAAAATAGAAACAATTTCACATTGTGGAAGACAGAACAATAATATTTCGCCTCCGTAATCCTCTTTCTAGAAAGTGAGGGATGAGTATATTTTGCATTATGGACAATACAAGGAGCATTGAAGAATAGGTTTCATTTTGGGGAAATTAGGGCTGCATATTGTGTCATCATTGCTTGTGATTTCACCAAAGATCACATTGAGAATGACATTGAGCTCATAACTGATAAAGTTTGAAGTGGGCGTGGCCCTTTCAGCTCATAACTGAGTTTTTCTTGGTTCATCATGCCTAATTTAAATTCATGCTGAGGTTAGCATCAAGAAAATTCATAGCAGGATTTTCAGTCAGACAGGTTAAGTAACAAGAGATCTCGTGCCATAATTCAGCTTGGATAATATTTGATCTGCATTACAGTTGGTGAAAATTTCTTACGAATAAGTTTTATCATAATCTTGCCTAATGAGAACAATTGAACATATTCTTCAGTTCTCTTTTCTATTCTTCTCCCATTGGTTTCATTTTTAACTAGCAAATTCGAAAATGGCATCTTTAACGTAATCTGAGATATCCTTTGAACAAGAGACCATGTATGGTTGCATTAATTTCTCTGCGGAGACCTTGATATCTCAAGCCTTCATAAGACAGATGTCATGGAACATTAGTCACTTTGCTGTTTGTCCAACACTGTTTCACTATCAGATTGTTATAGTGTTGAAGACATTGAGCATTCTATCATCTCTGTTCTATAATCTCTCGCACAAGATATCCCTCTGTTGTAGTCTCTTTTAATACCTATGATTTTGCTAATAGGTCATGGCGGCAAATTTCTTCAGATTTTTTATCTTCCTAATGCTCTTTGAACCGTGCCAGATGACTAACCCGACCTGTGATAAATCCCAGAAGATTACAGAGCCAAAGCACCTGGCGTGAATAAGAAATGGACAGCAAAGGAGTCAATAATTCTTATTAATATAGTTGAAGTTAGCAACATGCCAGTAAAAACTCAGGTCAGGTTTTCCAAATCTTTTACTGTTTATATATGCTTGTACAATTTCCTCATCTTAAAATGTTATGTTTCCTAAATTTTGAGATTCTTTTGTGTTCCTGGAAGTTGGACATTCTACCAGACTTGCGAATGAATTGTCCTTTCTGTTCTGTTCTCCTTTGGACCATAAAAGAACAATAAGCAAGGAGAAATAATAAAACTGCAGGTAGAAGCTGTCTTATTAGCTGCATTTTAATGATGAAAATAAAACCACTCGAGTTTGATGAGGTCATTATAATGGTAAGTATATAAAAAGATCAATGGTTATCCAGTTATTAGCATCAACAGAGAGTTATTAACATTCCATTCCTTCTCATAGTGTGGAAGAACAAAACAAATATGGCTTTTATCCCTTGAATTAGAGACGCATGCACTAACGGTCTAAGGTTACAAGTAAGGTTACGCCATTTGAAATGCACCAATTCCTTTTTCTTTCTTTTTTTTGGTTGATTGTGGCGCAATGACTGAGTTGTATACCTTGGGATATACAGGTGGCCATAAATTATTTCAAGGGATATGGATACGGTCACATCACATACAAGCAAGGCTTTACTTGGACTTTGCATCTGATATATACATACTTTTTAATTACTACCTCCGACCCTAATTATAAGAGCCAGTTGACTAATTTGATAAGATTAAGTTGAGTTAGTTATTTGTCCTAAATTGGTGTTATCTTTCCTAAAATATCCTTACTAATCAAGTGTATTGACTAGGACTATTATTGTTAGAAGAGTTACTTTGGAAAATATATATATATGAGAGCAAAGTGGATTGGGGTCTTATATTTAGAATCAAAATAAAAGTTAAATAGGGTCTTATATTAAGGACCGGAGGTAGTACTTCTTAAGAAATGGACACAAACGTTGATTATTTATTCTTACCTATTTTTATTTATGATTGCAATAGAGTTAAAGCCTTGTTTGGTCTTGCTATTAGAAAAAATCATTTTCTATGTAAAAAGAAATAATAAGATATATAATTATCTCTTATATTCTTGTATATGATTATCTCTAATATTCTTGTTATTACTCTATTATTGAACAATTTTTTTATTATTTTAGGACGAGAGTTTCTTATCAATATTTTCTTTTGGCCAACATTTCATTCAAGTTTTGACAAGAACAATAATATTGGGATGCTGTTCTGTTCTCTCACAATGGTGGCCAAAATGTTATGGATTATGAATATATTACCCTCTCTTATCATTCATATAGGAGCTGGTTGGGAATTAGATGTAGTGTGAAATATAATAGTTCAATTTATCTTTCAAATTAGTTTAATTAACTTGTAAACTGATATATAATTAAATATCACATAAGATTATTTTAGAAAAGTCAGGACATATTTATTATAATTAAATAATTTTTTTAATTTTTTTTAATCCGCTGAAATTAACAGTTGTTGTATTAATAAGGTGAGCCAATATCATCACATGTCTCTTGACTGACATTTTCATGGAAGCTAGAATTCTGACCTGCGCGTTAGCGTTCATTTTTTTCCCAAAAAAATGAAGTAATAAGAATTTTGAAAACGCATTTATTTATACCTAACTTTTGAACATTGCATTATTAAATGGGACAATCTCATACTGAAATTTAAAATCAGGCTTTTACTTTGAATAAATTCTTAATTAGGTTAAGAGGTTTAACTAGAAATTTATGAATATTATTAAAGGATCAAAATGTCCCTCTATAATTAAAATATGAGCTGTTATTTTTACATTTTTCTTCCTTATAAATTCTTTTCTTAAAATATGACAATAATAAATTATAATATTGTCACAATCTAAAATCTATTAAAAGTTCGTTGTCTGAATAAGTTTTTCACTCTTAAAATGTATGCGTGTTCTATTAAAAAATATATATACCTGTTAAATAAAAAATTTGTATGTGTGGGTATATATTATTAAATATATGGACGATGAATCAATATTAAAACTTAGCAGAAATTGAACACATCCAAAATTAAAATCTATCAATGACCTATACTGTTACATTATGAGGGTGCTGGAGTAATTATCAATTTGAATTACGGACTATGTTGTAACTACTTGTCATCTATTAAAGATTTTTTTTTTTCAAATTTCAGGAAAATCCCAAAAAAAAAGTTTAGGAAACAAATTTGTGAGGAAGACAAATATAAAAGTAACAACTCATATTATAATCATATAGGGGTATTCTAGATTTTTAACATTTATAAATTCCTAATTAGACATTTTGGCCTGACTAAGGATTTGTTCAAATTATAGACCTAATTTTATATTTTAATATTTCAGTTGGATTCAAATGGAATTCTCCCTTATTAAATTTAAAGAGATATATTCAAATTTACTAGAAAAATTAAATTGATGTGAAATTTACAAATAAATATTGCTACCTGTCCTCTTAAATAAAAGCTAGATAGAGTTTTTAATTTGCTCATAAATATAAAATTTTAATCTATTTTTTCACAAATATGTAATTTTCTTCTAAAATATCTCGGTAGATTCCACATAGTAAGAAAATTCTAATTAATGAATAGTTACAATACACATTATTAGAAAAGATATTATAAGAAAATTAACATATATTTATTATAAATAAAAAATTTAACTAATTTTTTTAATATCCACAAATTGATTATTAATATTAAGATAGTAAAATGAAGTCACTGTTTATTAGTATCATATAATTATGTCAATAATAAGAAATTATAGGAAGAACTGCAAATATAGTGCGACCACTTCAGCAACCTTGACAACCTCTGGAGATGATGACAAGTGTAGAAATAATAAAGAGTGGTGTGGAATATTGATGGGAAGAAGTGTATAAAAATAATGGAGAATTGCAATTAGGCCCCACTCAAAGGAATTAAATGCAAAAAGGTCCCTTGAAATCATGAAATTATTCTGAAGCCCCAAGGGATCTTTTTACAATAAATTTTATTTATTTAATTACCAAATTACCCTTCTTCTTTTTTTTTTTAAATTTGCATTGACAACTGAAAGAGCAGTGGTTGACAACTCAAGGTGCAAGGATTGACAACTATCGCGGCTGGTTTGACAACACATTTTCTCAGCATATCACACCATAAGTTGTCAAACCAGCCGCGATAGTTGTCAATCCTTGCACCTTGAGTTGTCAACCACTGCTCTTTCAGTTTGTCAATGCAAACTTAAAAAAAAAAAAAAAAGAAGGGTAATTTGGTAAGTAAACAAATAAAATTTAATGCAAAAAATTTTTTGAGACTTTAAAATAATTTCATGATTTTAAGAGATTTTTTTATATTTAATTCCCTTGAATGGGACCTAATTGCCATTTTCCTTAAAAATAAGTTTCAAACTGAGGGGAAGATAAGCATGGAGATGACGACAAGTGGCGTGAAAACAACCAGAAGGGCCAAGCATGGCATGGGAGGATGGCGTGGCGTGAAAACAACCAGAAGGGCCAACAACCTTTATTTTGTCCGTTTCCAACTCAAAAAGTGAGGAAGCACATGTGGGCCCATCGCTGCAGGGTGAAGCACCTCAATCTGCCAAACGCCCGTGAGCACTGAAATGCACGGTGCAGAGGAATCCTTGTACCCAGTTCGGACGCGCTATAATGAGAGCCTGTGGGCACGTTTTTGTAAAATGGAGATGAAATTTGTATCACATGTCTATATTTACTTCTCTGATCTTATTTATAAAGTGTTTTTAATATATTTTACACCGATAAAAAAAATCTTAAAATACATTAATTCTTTATGAAAATATAACAATTTTTTAATTTGATCTATATTTAATATATATACCTTTTAAAAGAAATACCTACCTACATTATAATAAATAGAGGACAAAAAGTACATTCATGTTGAAAATTTAATGAAGTGATTTATAAATAGGATCACAAAAAACCTTTTCACTCTATCCTATAAATAAGATCAGAGAAATATTTTACATTTTATAAATTATAATTAAAAAGTTATTTATAAATTATTTTTTTTATTTCCAAAAGAATGTACAGGGTCTCTGGATTAGTTATTAGATAATAGTTTCTAGATAAAAATTATTAAAAAAAGTTATTTTAAAAGTATGTTTTAACTACTGAGGATTGGGTCTAACATAATGAGTTAGTCCTTTATAACTTGACGAATCAAAATTTTAATTCTCATTGAAAGAGGTATCTACATTTATTTAGTATTAGACAATGGTTTTATTGATTTCGTAACCAAAAAAATTTCTCATTATAAAATTTATTATCTAAAAGTATCTAACGTCCTATATTTTTGCTCATATGCAACTCATCTCCATCAATACAACTCTTTTTGAGTTGTGTGCAATATATTAGATATGTATAACACATAGCTAAAGAAATATTGCACACATCTAAATAAAAGTTGCACACAAGTTTTTTAACACATTTTAGATATTTTTGGACAATAAATTTTACCATGGAGGATATTTTAGCAATTTTCCTAATAGCCAATGCACCTTCTGCTCCTCATTATTAGGCAAGATTAATGTGTAAATTTATTTCAAAAAATTTCATTCAAGACTAATGTTACTTTAGAAGTTTTTTTTTTTCTAAGTCCAATATAGTCTTGAAGTTTGAGAACATAGTAATGTCATCACATGTCATTAGAAAAACCAACATTAATCGTTCAAATATTGACATTGATTGTTTTAACATTTCTGGGGCAATCTTGGACCGCAAAAAAAACTGTCAAGACAATGGTACTATGTTAGAAATTTGAAAAATTCACACATCAAATGATGAGAAATATATAATGTTACCTCCTGTTTTTAATATAAGACTTTGTTTGATTTTTATTTTGGTCTTAAATATAAGATCACAATCCACTTTGTCTCTCATATTTATATTTTTTTCCAAAGTAATCCTTTTAACAATGATAGTTCTAGCAACTACACTTGATTAGCAAGAATATTTTAAGAAAGACAACACTTATTTAGAACAAATAACTAACTCAACTTAATTTCTTAATATTCTCAAATTAGTTAACTGGTTCTTATAATTAAGATCAGAGGTAGTAATTGCAGAGAAAAACATATGCTGGAATAAATTGATTAAACCGATTTAATAATATATGCCTTTAGTCCATCATATATTCTTATTTTCTCATCCCATACGTTGTTTGGTTAGACTTTTCCCAGACTTGGTGGAGTTCACATCACAAAGTCACAACATGGCAATCCAATCCAATGGGCACACGTTCGTCCCTAATTCATTGTTGTGATCACAACTAAACGCTACTCTAAGTTGGTTTGTCTATTTCGTTGCCTAAATCAAAATGGTCTATTTTGGTTGGCAAAAAACAAAGGTCTATATGAAAGTGATAAATAACTAATATTTAGTTTTTCCATTTAGTTATTTATTTATTGTGAGTATGCATTTTTACATAATTCAAACTTAACCCAATCATCGATGTTGTGTTACTATAAATAAATAAAAAGTCAAATATATAATATTTATTAGCCACAAACGTAAGATGCTGATGTAATTTAACCTTTATTTTAAGTGTAACTTTGTTGGGGAAAAAAAATAATTCTCCCTTTTTGTTTTTATCATAAGAACCTCTTATATATCTTTTCTATGCACATAAAAAG